TGTATGTAAAGTGATATGAAGGGACAAACTCATGTCTCCCATCAGGAAATATTTCAGTTGTACAGAAGGTGCGTCTTCATCATCTCGAGATTGCCAAATAGCCCGCTATTTCTGATTTGGGAAATAATCCTGAAGTAACAAATCGCATCTTCACTATCTCGAGATTCGACCTCGAAACTTGAAACTCGACCTTGAGAAATTAGCTCGAGATATTTTGCTCAGCGTTAGCGCGTATTGCGAATCTTCGGTCTAATAAAGACGCAAGGGACAAATAGCTGGATATTTTGCCAAATAGTGGGATATTTTGCAAACTATCCCAAGACATCTTGGGATGACAATCCTTGATGACCAAATATCCTTCTAATTGCTACTTTGGTCTGATGAAGACGCAAATTAGCTGGATAGTTTGCGGATCGGGATAGTTCAAATAGCTGGATATTTGGCAATCTCGAGATAGTGAAGACAGGCCTAAAATGTAGCCAGCAGCAAATAATGAGAACCAGGCCGGGTGCCTTGTTTTTATGTAGAGAAACAGGAACGGATGAAAGACGGGCATTCATAAATGCAAGAAATGGGTGTTTTCTCTCTGACGTACAATGCATGATCGTTTGTCTTTGGGCCACCCTCAATAAAAAACAAGTTGTTTCCCCTAATGAACCACTGATGTATCTTGCCCCAAAGGCTGGGGACCGCAGAGGTATATTATGAAAGATTCATCCGTTCGATACCAATTCATCAATTTTCCTGGCGGTTGAGGCGGTAACCACGGTAAGATGGTGTCGAACCCAAGCGAGGGAAGTTTAATGCGAGAATTAGAGGGTCACCTCAGGCTTACAGCTGCAAAGTTCTTCCCTGAAGTTTGAAACCCTGTCTACCGCCACACACAAGGAGCAACCTAGTTTACACATGAACTTTGAATTTATTCACTTTGAATACATGCTAATCTGATAATGCTACAAGTGTTTTCTTAGAAAAAAAAATCTTTCTACTCTGAAAGTTTTATATGAACTTTCAAACAGGAGGATTAACCGAATTTTCAAACTTTTGTATAGCACTATTTTCATTGGTTTTTTCAATGCTTCAAAGATTGTATCCAGCTAATAAAATGTCTTTCATATGTACCAACTTGATAATGATGTCACTCTTTTGCGCTTTTAACTCTATGTTTAACTATTATTTTGTTAACAGTTTTATGAAAGAGAAAGTATTTTTTTTATGATTGGTCATTGACAAGCCATGATCAGTCACATGAAATGTTTTTTATTAAATAAAATTATCTGATAAATCTGTGAGTATATATTATTTGTTGAATAGTATATGGATGTACAATGTACTGTTTATTAATCCTATTAATCTACATGTAGCCTGTAGATTGAGATTATTGTATTAAGTGTGTTGCATGAGTTTGTTTTTCATCAGAACTAGTGAAGGCATCAAAAAAAGAAACTTAGATTTTGTGACAGCTACTTTTAAGGATATCTCACATTTCATTTTTCATCTGAACAAAAACATTGCTGCCTTTGCTGGCATGTACTGTATCCCTGGCATCCAACTTACCACCCAGCTCATGAATTCCTTTCAATTTCCAAGACAGAAGTGTGAATACAATGTTTATGATATTCAGTTTATCAATTTTGGCAGATAAACTGCCTACAGCTGCGTAAGGGTTAATAAGAGTGTTAGTCTTATTTGTCTGCGAAGAAAGAATCGTAGAGAAAAAGGAATTATACAAAAGTCTACATTAGATAATCGGTAATCCATTTAGATTTGAAAATGCAGTAATCATATCTTGCATTTGACACAGAGTGGTTTTTAATATGATTGAGATGGGAAAATTTGATAAAAGTGACATGAAATTTGATTGGGATCACGTTGTTTGTTATTTCTAAACAGTTTTAAGTGAATTTTCTGTTACAGGGGGCTCTTCAAGATAATTTGATGTGAAATCCTGGGAACTTGCATGTCTGCTTAGATTTTCAGACATCTCTGCAATGTGTCAGGTTAAATTTCATTTCAATGGACTTTCCTTTTTATGTTGCTATATAAATTCCCTGATTTTAGCGTTTATATGTACAGAGTGTGACTGTATTTAAGCCATTCTACTTTTAATGACACTTGTGGATGAGCTAGAGAGAAAGTAGAAAAGGGAGAGAGAGAGAGAGAGAGAGAGAGAGAGAGAGAGAGAAGCAGCAGACAGGCAGACAGACAACAAAGAAAGAAAAAAGAGAGAGAAGGAATTCAGAAGGGGGGGGGGGGGGTGTAGAGAGAGAGAAATTGAGAGATCTGAGAGCACAGGAGATGGGAATATCCTTTTCATGCAGTGATAGAGAATGACGGAAGTATCGGGTTCAGGATCAAGATGGTTGATTGCATGGCAGTGAGTCGAGATGGGATATTGAGTGGAGAAAATTAATGGATGTGAGAAGGCAGAAAGAGACTAATATTACAGCAGAGATAAGGAAAGGTTACACTCGTCTGAAGAGTGAAGGAGAACTTCTGGGAATCTAGGCGGTGTTATCAAAGAAGCTGTCGGAGAAGACTATAAAGTCGGATAAAGCCAAGTGCTGAGCTGGTCATTTTACAGCTTTGTGAAAGACACTCTAAGTAAATAGGCATAAATGTTCATTTCTGTTCTGCCTTTATTAGCCCATAGTGATATGCGCTATACAAATAACGCTCATTATTATTTTTATTATCATTATATATAGGTGTATGTTGTTAGGAAATGATGATTTTAAAAAGTATAACTACAAATAATGGTTCATTTTAAAGTTTTTTAATTAGCAAATGATAACAAATAGTTAGGCCTAATGCAATCTTGCTGTAAATGATGCACATATGATGTACATGTAAAGCTGTCATTTTATAGTTGTTTCTCCCTTTTTCTACTTTTATTGAAACTACAGTGTAACTAAATATCAGGGTGGACTTCCCTTTTATGAAAAGGGCATGTAACACAAGAAGGCATACCTTATGGGTGCAGATGTTCACAGTCGCAAACATTTGAAAGAATATCCTTCTCTCGGGCAATTTCAAGACCATATTATATCAGACACATATAACCAAATACATGTATGATTGCATTACATGTACACACAGGAGACCTTGGGAATGTTTGTAAATTTCAGTAAGCAATATGCTCACTTATTGAGTCTGGCGAGAATGTCGATCTCTTTTGGAAATGCCGGCGATTAGGTTTTCTTACCCCTATGTTGCAGCCAACTGTGCAAATGTGTATCACATTCAAATTCATGATGCTAAGGCCCTGTCTTAATCAATTACAAATTTGCAAATTTTGCTACCTCCTTTACATATACTTTTCATTTTGTATAGATATCAAGTTAATTTATGAACAGCTAAAATCAATTGCTGCTCAGAACTCTTTTTAAGCCTAGTTTTAGGGCCTACATGTAGTTTGTACATGTACATGTATGAACTTTGTTAGTCCGGGGTTCTCTTTGTCTGTCACTGTTCACTTTGATTAAAAACAGTGTTCCATCATATCAAACTTAATCCAGGATCATTTGAAAGAAAGACACACTTTTTGATGTAAATCAGCTATTCCTCATCAAATTGGTGCCAATTATCTTAACTTTTCACTCCTACACTGTATATACATGTAGTCTTAGAAAAATAGAAAATATTCCTAACAGATAAATTTTTCAACATGTATATTTTCAACAAATTTCCTTTAAATTCAAATATTCATCTACTTGTATGATCCAAGATGGTAAACAAATATTGACTCCTAAGGTTAGGGTAACGGCATTAGGCTCTGATAATCTCTGGACTGTGTACTATCGCCATTTTTTCAAAGCACAATATCAAGAACACCTCAGGCAATTATATTATATACATGTACAGTTTTTGTATATATACACCATATATGCATAGGCCTATGACCCAGAAGCTTTCTGACAGCAAGCTAATGCATTTTTGTACCATTTTATTTTTGTTAATGCATAATGACTCTCGTTCAGGTCCATTACTTGATTAATCTGTCTCAGAGTACAATACTTCATCACAATCAACCCACACTCTTCTATCATTTACTAATTGAAACTGCTTTTCCGTCTGTTTTGTTCCCTGAATATCAATTTGATTAATGGTTACAGTGTATTATGGAGATGATCTTGCTTTGGCATGTTATATTCACATGCACAACAGAATTTCCTTAAAGGGATCCGGTAACTTTGTCTCAGATTCTGAAACAAAATTCTGGATTTAGCTCATGATGCAATGATAATTATAAACCTTTAGGTCAGTCAGGAGCCCCATGACTTTTACAAGCCGATCGCCTGTCTGATTATCAAGATATTTATGATTGGTATTACAAATTTTGAAAACCGTTTGCCTGACGGTTTTCATAACACTACAGTCTATTGGGAAAAACGAGTATAGTAAAACCGGTCACTCAAAGATTTTTACTTTTTTGAGGCACTTCTTGATCATTTTGAAGCGCAATTTTTTTAGGGCTTCAATATTACACCATATCACAGACACTGATAACACTTAGGGCCGTGTATCTCAGATTTAAAATTGTTAAACGATCCCTTTAACAAGAATTCATAGTCACAGCTATTTGTTTGTGTTCAATAATGTGTCAAGGCTTTGTAGCCTTAATGATGGCTTTATTTATGCATTAAAGCACAGGTCTGCATATACATGTACATGTACATGTATGTGGACTAACATTTACTGTATAAACTTTTTCACGCATGAAATTTTCACAGATTTTCAGAGTGGTTTAGATTCTTTGAATTACCACTCTCATTGAATTTCTAGAATTCACTGAGGTTCCTTGCCACAAAAACTAATGTTGTTAGCAAATCTCTAATGATTTGTAATTTGACAGTTATTGCAGTGGTTTGGTACTTGGCAGATGTACTGGGGGGAGCCTTAAAATGTCATGACAAAACAATTGTTTGCAGAATGATATCTCTTTCTAGAAAGAGCTGCTTGTATTAAATTCTCCAATCCATTCTCTTCTATTCTTGCAGGATTTATATCACTGAGTACCTTCTTTCATCAGTACCTGTCTGCAACTCAATACATCGCACCTCTGATGGGTAACTTTGACCCTAGTCAGAACACCACGTCAAGAATCAAATATGGATATAATGGTAAGTCTACATGTATATAAAGACCATGGTGTCTATAAATGTAAACACACCTCTGATGGGTAACCTGACTCAGTTTCGACCCTGTGTCCTCAGCTGAATGAGTTTGTAACTTCCAGTGTTAGCCGGATTACAGGCGCACGCCACAACGCCTGGTCTGTAAAGTCCATTTTCATAAAGTCACATGGATTAGACAAGAAGACCTTCGGGTTACAGTTGTTTAGTTAATCCTTTTCTTTTCCCGGCATCCATGTGACTCTTTTCCAAATGTACGCTTGTTTATTCAATGATTTTCTTTGTTTTTGCTGGATAAATGAAATTAAAAATAAAATGAAAATAATCTCTGATGGGAAACTTTGACCCTTGTCTGATTACCAGATCAAGGATCAAATATGAATATAACGGTAAGTCTGTACACTCAAACCTGTGTAATAATATTAACAATGATAATAATACCGGTACTCAGGTTTTATATAGCGCTTATTACAATCACCAAGCGCTTCTAAACTTAGAGATTATTACCCCAGCTTTAGCTGTGCTGCCATTACGGCGCTCTAGCATTTCAAAGAATTAATTCCTGCCAGGTACCCAATTACATCACCTGGGTTGAGTGTGGCAAATGTAGATCAATGTCTTGCCAAAGGACATTAGTGCCGTGACGGGTCTTGAACCGCGGACCTTGTGATCGACAGTCTGGCGACCATAGTGTCTATAAATGTAAACACACTTCTGATGGGTAACTTTGATCCTGGTCTGAAAACCACATCCAATATCAAATATGGATCATGGTGAATGTCAAACCTGTATATAAAGACCACTTTGTAACAGTGTTTTATCAGTACATGTACATCACACCTCACACTGGTCTAAATACTATACTGAACATCCAGGATGACAGTCAGACCAATATGAAGAACACTCATAGATTGGCTTTAGATCAGTGACCCACATTCAAATTTTATCACTTTAACGTTTTCATGGAGTAATAATAAATAAAATAATAATATTTAATTTTTATATAGCGCTTAATACAAATGTCTCTAAGCGCTTTACAAATATAATCTCTCTTACTTTATTTCATTCTCTATAAAAAACATTAAACATACAAACATGACATACATGATATACAGATAAAAGAATCGATTACAAGAAAAATACAAAGGGAAGGAGCAAACAACATTTTATGTGAGTGTGGGGTTACATGTAACAAAAAGGGCAATTAGCCTTATGAATGTCAACCCCTTAAAAAGTATACACTGTATTGTTGAGAAAAGAAAAAAAGGAAAAGAAAAGCAGAAAAAACCTGAACCTTAATACAAAAAAAGAAAAAAAGGGATGAATAAGGGAAGGGGAGGGGAAATACATAAAAAGGTGCATTGAGATTGGAAATGTAAATGTACCTGGGATCTCATCTTACCTGTCGAAGGCTTGGATTAAAAACATTTCCATTTTCATCATCATTCAAAGCAGTTGCCCTTTCGATGGGCAATCATTAAGCAAACAGTATGGGCAGACCTGGTAACTAATATGTGCATAAACCTATACTTCAAGATATTGAAGATACCGAGATACTGAGTTACCATGACAACTGATGTTGAGAGAACCTCGTATCATACACATGTTTACAGAACGGACCCTTTCAAATGCAAAGGTTTCTCGATTGCACTCTCTCTTTAAATATAGTTCTTGAGTAGGTAGCCATGGTGTCCACTTCAGAGCTCCAGTAGCTCATCCTCATAGCACATTTACAGGTGGATTCATGAAGAAAGAATGGCTTCACTGTAAAGTAGTTCCACATCTTCTATAGATAAGTCAGTGGATAAAATCTTGAGGTAGTTTCTCATTTAAATTTGTATTTATTTATATAATTTCCAGGCAAGATGATAACAATACATCACAAAACATCACAAGGTTGACAAAATGATATAACATTAACAGTATATTTAGCACCAGCCAATGCCTGGGGATCACCTAAAAGAATTTTAAAATTCTGTCGAGAGGCTCTCCACGTTGGCTGTACATGTACCTGATTATTTTGAAGGCTAAGTAAGTAAATCATAGCGCCTCATCTAGACTTCTCAAACATAAGGAATGGGGCCATGCTGTTTGATATTTGATGGGTTTTATTTCCATTCTATCCATTACAGTGCCGACTCATTACTGAGAGTAGCAATGTTTTCCCCTTCTCTCTCTAGCCTTTCCTCTCTTCTTTTATTTTACCTTCTTTTCTCTTTCTTTTCTCCTTTTCCTATCGTAGCTCTCTCCCCCTTTTATATTTTTTTAGGCCGCCAAGGAGGCAGGGGGGGGGGGGGGGGGGGGGCAACCGATTTGACTCTCACCCAACCACATACACCTGTACTCAAGGGTTTACCGTTTCGAATGTTAAGAATCCCTTTCGTTAAGTAGAGGGTAGTGAAAGGGTTTGTTGACATTGATTCAAGCCTGAATGGAATTAGAATGTACCTTCACCTGCTGAGCAAACAAACGTATTCAAGTTGGTTTATATTTAGACAGAATGCGAGTAGCCCAGTCAAATCACCAAACCGACTCCAGATCAAATCCAAATTGACCTATTATTTTGCCATATGGGTACTGTCACTCTTTTGTTTGGTCTGTTGTTGGTCTGGTGTCAGTCTTGGTGGTGTAACTCAGGTATTATCCAGATCAGAAGAGTGTTAAGAATGACTGCATACACATTGGTTTTATTGTATATATTTGTATATATTTATCATGTATTTCATCTTTTGTACAAGCTGCGCCTTGAGCATTTGACTGTCAAGTGGATTTGGCGCCTTATAAATCTTATGTATTATTATTATTATTATTTGAAAAAAATTCATATTTACATATTTTTAAAGAAATAAAAAATTTACGAATGTTTTATTAAATAATCAGCTTGTTAATATTTTTATCTGACACTCTTCAGAGAAACTTGTTTTTGTGGTACCAATAATCTCTTTATTTATGTTTGACCTTTCTTCTTTTATGTTTTTCTGATTGATCATAATGCATTTTTTAAATAAAGTATTTTGTTTTCAGTTGGAAAAGTCTCATAACTCACATGTTCGGTAATTATAAATTCCTTGTCATTAGCATTAGAGCTAGAGGTGTCATACTGATAAATCACATGTCTATAGTGGCAAAATGATCAGCCAAGGACAGTGTTAAATTCAAAGTAGAAAAATAATGATGATGGCTTTTATCAAAAGAATATAATTAGTGTTTAATTTATGCCCATCATTAAGCTCACATTGTTTCTTTCCCTTTTTTCCCCTGTTGACACAGACACTGCCTTCACTGTAGAATGGGATGATCTTCATGTACAACACCTCACATCAGGTAGGTATTCAAATTAGGTTTGGGGATTATTTTGTCGAGCTGTAAAGCCATCATTAGAAGTACGGTAATGCAAATTGTAGTTGACCTTGTTTAAATGTGAACAAACTTTTGTTAAAAAACATTTCTGCTTCTGGAAACAGAAATCAGGAATGAAAAAAAGAAAGAAAACGATTATGGTCAGCAAAAGGCAAACTTCTTTATTTACAAAAGTTGCATTGGAATACTATTTTCATTTCCTCTTCAAAACACAGAAATTATTGAGATATAATATATTATACTGTTTTTTCCATTATTTGATCACTTGCCTCTTCCTGGTTTTCAAAAATGAAATTGGGATAAGCATGTTTATTTCTAAGATATTTTGCAAAATCCATATAAAATTGATGCCTGTTCTTCCTTCTCGCATGGCATGTGATGTCTGAATGCAACATTGCTCTTTCAAACTGCTTGGATAATAACACTAATAGATCTGCTATTTCATAATCATATCTGATTGTTATTGTGCACAGGATTACTATTGACAGCAGGATGCTTTGTTGGATATGTACCTCAATAATGTGAAGAGGAAAAATAATTATATAAAAAAGTAAATTGAATACTTATGAAAAACATGATTTGCTCTTCAAATTTCTCTTCACTTGGATTTCAACTTAAAGTGGCTGAAAGGTAGCTTACCATATATGTGTATTCTCTCTAAATACAAAATCCCTTTTGTTACACCAATTGTAAACAGATCTGATGAACTATCAAGTTTATGTTGTTTTTCTTCTTTTTAAAATACTAATTATTAGATTTTATAAGCTTGGATGGAAAGGAGTGATATACTCAAGAACCTAAATGTACACATAGAATACTTAGTTACTTACATCCCAGGTTTGCTTCTTCTTTCACAGAGGTACCTGTACATGAAAACGTACATGGAAATGTATAATGAATTGGATGACTCTAGCAGTAATCCGACAGTCACATCATCATGTAAAACCATCTGTCTCGGGGCCATTTAGGCAAATTTAGGCATTTAGGTATTAGAGTTCAAATTGTTAACTTCTAGTTCCCCCAGCAGATTATGCAATGAATAAACAGCATTGTTTCTAACTTGCATGATAAATGACTTGCCTCATTTACTAACTAACCTTTAACATTTCATTCTCCACCGCTTCCTTGACATGCCTTGCCCGAACCCCCTCCCCTCCTCCCTCCCCCTTTATCCTGCATGTGACTCCGCCCACTTGGCTGCTTCCCTGCCTGCTGATTGGTCCATTCATCTCATGCTGTGTGCTGATTGGTTCATACCACTGACACAATCAGTTGGACGATTTACATTCCAGACTACCCTTGTATCTGATGGCCGTATTCTCTTCGCATACAAAGAGGTAATTCTGTTTGAAAGACTTTTCTTTATGGTCATTTGAAGTGCATACGTGTAGTGATTACAACTTTCAAAAGTTCATAAATTTCTTATATTATGTCAGATTTATTTGAAACTTACATCAGTTTGCTTCTCTGATTTTTCTGCTTCCATTGAGAGTCTCTATTTAGGTTGGATTTCTCTTTAATATAATCAAAATAAGTCACTTGAGGCTCCAAAACCTGTCTCTGTGTCATTAAGAAGAGTTACAAAGAAATTACATAATAGTTCACCGTAAATCGTTGATAATAATTTTGTAAACATTGTAGAGCATTTGGGCATTTATAGAGTAGGCTGTACAGTTGATTAAAAGCCTTTGGCCATGCAACCACATTGAAACCTGTTGTATCTCCGTGTTGAAACCCAAGCCAAGCCAAGCAGCCTATCGTATATAGCTAGGGAGGCTAGCTAGCGAAGATTCCAACCCGATTCACTGATCATTATCAGTAAGGTGCCCTTTACAGGATGCTGTGAAAAACAAATTTAACATGCTCATTACCATTACCCAGCATACATGTACATACATGTACAACATCCATAGCACAATCAGAGCTCATTCAGCACATGATTGTGGTTTTCTTTTGGTTTCCAGCTAAGTGGGATAATTTTTGTTCTTCAAATATAATTACATTATGCATACTTAATAATGCGCCTGTCAATGCCATTGTTTAAATAATGACACATTGGTGTGTTCTAATTGAAGGCTATATAATGGCAAGAATGTGTCGTTGTCTGTTCCTAACTTATGTGTGTACATAGGGCTCTTTATTAAGATCCTCCACCCCCCCCCCCTGGTTCATGTTCATGTATGTAGGCCTACTTTCACATTCTGCCACAGTGCATGTATGTGAGTAATGCGCGATGACTTAACAATCAAGCAAAATAAATAAGGAAGTTTTGTAAAGTAGTTTGATTAAATTTTGGGAAATGGAATAAATATTGAATCCTTATTGATTAGTGAATATGGTACAAGTTAAATTATGGAATGTTTATCCAAACAAGGCAAAACTGAGTACGATGGGTGTAAAGTATGTGTAAAGTGACGAATGAAAAAGGGGAAGATATAATGAAAGAATTTATAACTACACGTACACATTCAGAAGTGTAATCGTACTGTATAGAAAGATTTAACTTCACAAATTACCTTTAATCATGATAATACAGATAATAGTCAATCTTTAATTTCATAAGTTATTGCCATTTCCTGTCAAAGTTCCATGATCATTTGTCTCCTTGCCAAAGGTAAGGTGTAATAAGTTTAGACTTGGAGGCGCGATGGTTCAGTGGTAGAGCCGTGGTCTCTTAACCGGGAGGTCCCAGGTTTGAAACCATGGCGATGTGCTAGTGCCCCTTGGTAAGGCATTAATCCCCATTACCAAAGTCCCTAGGAGAGGACTTATAGCCTTGGGTTCCCTGGTTGCTTACTTACAAGCATACACATGCTTTCTTAGCAGTCAGGTAAAACAAACTGTAATCCAACCAAGACTGCTACATGGCCTTTAGATGAAGGTCCACAAAAACATTGGATACAACCTTAATTTTTTTTTTTTTTTTTTTTTTTTTTTTTTTGATTGATTTTTATTTCTCATGCAAAACATAATACAAAAATAATTATATCACAACAAATATGTAATGAAACGATAAATATAGTGGAAATGGCACGAGAAAAGAGGAACTAACTTGAAGCAGAGCTTGTTGAAGTGTTAGTTCCTCAGATGCAAATTTTACAATAAAACATGAACAAAGTATGCTTATAGATCAATAAATAGACAATATGTAGCTAGGAAGAAGGAAAAAAAAAAGAAGAAAAAAATAAGGAAGAAAAAGAAAAGAAAAGAAAAAAAAAGTGAATGGAGGAAAATAGTAGAAAACAAAAACAAAAGCTCTAGAAAAGGGAGATTGAGAAAGAGATTGAGTCGAGAGTCAAACAAACCGAGATTCTATCATGTACATCTATATGTGTCTAAAAGTTTAGTCTTTAACTTTTTTTTAAAAATGCATAGACAAATACTTTGTTTAAGAGATGGATCTATGTTATTCCAAAATACTGGACCGGTGTAAATAATTGTCTTTTGTGCGAAAGCTGTTCTCATTAAGCACCCCACCCCCCCCCCCTCGATGACGCACATTTACGAATGACTTGATAAATCAGGAGATACCCTTCTTAGTGCACTACGTGTACCTACAATGTATAATGTTGTCTGACTTTCTCTCTCCTTTTTCTTTCTTCCTAGATCCCAGAGGATGTTAATAAGATAGGTGGAGGAAATGGCCACAAGGTGACCGTTGGTTTGTCTGACGGCTACTACATCGATGAGCCCCTTTATCCAGGTAAGATCTTCGGCCTACACATTGTAAGGTCACAGAATGAGTTCAACATTACATTCAGAAGGTTAAAGATGAAGTTGAGTTCTGGTCATGCGATTGCATTGTGAAAGAAACGGTGTGGAATCGATCAGAAAAGGTTGATCATCTAGCATATAAGAATTTGTGTGTATTGCAAGGTTCTGGAATCATCAAAATGATAAGAAATTTGGCCAAGTCTTGGTAAAGTTACAAACACTGTACACAGAAAGATGTATATGGGACTACACGAACACGTGGCGTAAAAAGCCGGCCCCCTCCCCCCCCCCCCCCCCCCCCCCCCCCCCCCCCCCCGATTTTTACGATGTTACATGCATATTTAGAATATGAAGGCATTTGAAGAGCCATGCTTTTCAGGGAACATGTCTTATCTGATGTTCTTCCACACTTGCATAATAAGAATGAGTAACACTCACAAATTATTTTTCACCTCTTCCCAGAACTCAACCTTCTCTTTAAGGATGGTTTAACAATAATTCTGATCTTTTACTTTTTATAAATTACAAAAGGGACTTTAATATCATTAACATCATTGGAAATACTGCATTGCATGATACATATTGTTATTGTCAGCTTTTCAGATTTCATCAGTTTTGGCTAATTGGAACATTGCTGTTATTTTTCAACATTTAATGAGAGATATATCCTTGCCAGTAGTTTCATAATTGACTTGGATGAAAAAGTGTCGACCGTGGCATATTATTTTTAATGTAGTGTGTTCTGATAATGGACAGATCAGAGCTGAAGCAGGAGCGTGTTTCACAAAGACTAATATTGACTTAAAGTTGGACTTATCTATGGCAGGCCCTTCATGCCATAGTTTGCTCTCACCATCTACTGGCATTGGTCTCTCAAGAAACGTACAAATCATGGTCACAAATCTACAGAACTCACATTTTTGATAATTCGTCCTTGTTTTCACGAAGTGACGGTAATGAGGAAAATCGTAACACAAAGTGAATGCATTTTTTTTTCACTACCGTCACTTCGTGAAAACAGTGACGAATTGGTTATTGAAGGAAAAAATATGATCTAAAGATCATAATGGTGAGAGCAACCAGTGGCAGGAAAAGCCTGCCATAGTTAAGTCTGACTTAAAGTTGGTCTTAGTCTTTGTGAAACACCCCCCTGGTATAATAATTTTCAAATTGTCATAGGGTTAATTATATAATTGTGATGTAACAATGGATTGTTGTTTTTTTATTATTATCACTCTTAACCACTTTATTTTTGTCAGGATCTAACTTGATCAGGCGAACGATTTACCATTACCACAACATTCAGCTGAACAAAACCTTTGTTATCAATGATGCAGCTTTTGTACTAGAACCACTCCAAAGTAAGTGCATGGCTTTCAATCTTTCCAAGTGTGCACTACAGTACAGCAATATGTCACTCAATGCACATACACTGTACATTCATGTATGTCTGAATGACTGTACGTAGCAGGCCTCTATAGAGTGGTGAAGTGTGACGTCATCAAAAATCTATTTTTAGAACTCCCCAATTTTTCTTCATTTTCCGAAAAAGAATTAAAAATAATGTCCAAATATCGAAGACCAATTGAAAATGTTAAGTATTTGCTGAGATATGACCATCTGAATAAAAAAAATTCCTATAGGAGCTCAGTGTTATATTGCTCTGGTTCCTAATGTTATGAACCAGAGCAATATAACACTAAGCTCCTATAGGAAATCAATTAATTCAGATGGTCATATCTCAGCCAATACTTAACATTTTCAACTGGTCTTCGATATCTGTACATTATTTTTGATGCTCTTTCGGAAAATGAAGAAAAAATTGAGAAATTCTAAAAATAGATTTTTATGATGTCACAGCTTTGGTAATTATACTACGTAATACCAATTTCGGGATTACGTTAAATGAGACCCCGTTAGTGCGCATGCGCTAATCAGCAATTCGTTAGTCGCGTGTTATTTGAGCGAAAGGACCCCTTTCTGGCTCAAGAAATCAGATTTATTATCCACGCAATCCCCGAAATTCAAAGGTAAAAAACGTTATTAGTTTCACCCTTGACATTTACTGATAACTTTGAGACGCTTATTTTTATAAATCACGCCCTTCTGAAGTGATATTTTATCGATAGAATTGTAATGTCTCAATTGGATAGCAGCACTGCTGCGTTTCCTCCGTCCGCGCTTTCACCCCAGGCACCGCCTGGTAGCGCAGGAGCCACGGGCTCCGACGGAAAGAAAAAATTACCCAACTCCAGTGGCAAAGTCACGGCTGGCAAAGTCAGCAAGAGTGGGCCGGGGAAAGCTAAAAGTAAAACAAAGTCGGACTCGGAGCCAAAGGCAATGAGCGAGAAAAATCAGGAAGTGGAATCAACGGTTCCTTTTTCTACTTTTAATAATAGACTTGTTAAAATGGAAGCGCTTCTTGCGCGAGTGGTTGAGGCGTTGCCCGCTACTAATGTTACGGCTGTCACCGGCAGCTCACACCCGTCTTCGTCTCGCGGCCCCACCGGGGCTACCGGCGGGGAAGACTATGTGCAACGGCCTCCGTTCGACCACGGGAATGACATACCGCCCACCGGGCTCATGGAGTTTTACGGTCTACCCGCGGATGCAACCGAAGCGGGCGCCGTCTCGGAGGAAGAGAATTTTGACTCAGACATGCCTCAACCTGATAACTTTGTCATTCCCTCGATCGCCGCAAAATTCGCGATGGCGTCGGATATCGGAGATCCTATTGAGGAGGAGATAGCCCAATCTACTTCATATCTCATGACACACCAATTGGAGGGGAAAGTTCTTGATGAAGTTACTGCAAAATACCCAGCTCCAAGCAATTGTCAGATTATAGAGGCACCAAAGGTGAACCCTGTGATATGGGACAATCTACCTCCGATGACAAAAAGCCGTGACTTGAAGTTACAGCGAGTTCAGAAATCACTCACTCATGGCATCAATGCATTTGCCCGCTCCGTTTCTACGGGCGGTATAACTGACACACAGCAAGATGCTTTGGCGTTGATTTGTAACGCTAACTTTGAACTGAACTGCCTACGAAAAGAGCTCATAAAACCTGACTTGAATGCAAGGTTTACGCATCTGTGCAAACCTACTCTGCCAGCTACTAGACTTTTGTTTGGTGATGATCTTGGGAAGCAGGTGAAGGATCTCAAAGATCAGCAACTGGCAGCGGCCGGTGTAATGAGGGACAAATTCAAAAACCGCTTTGCTTCGCATCCCTATCGGGGACGTGGCTACAATGCACCGGGGCACCGCTGGGGCTCACAGAGCCAATCCCGCGGGTATAGCAGGCCAATGTCAGGATCGCAGGGTGGCCCTTTTTTAGGGTACAGACAGAACAGGAGGGGCAGACAGCCTCCGTACACTCAGTCTCAGGCTCCGAACCAGCCTCAAATGCAAGCGCCAGGTGCCCAGAGGGGTCCCATGGGCCAGCAGAGGAGGAAGTAGAACTCCCAAAACCAAGTCACGACAAGGTTAGTGATTCACACTTTGATCTCATTTTTAGCGAAAATGATATGACTAATGCTAGTACTAGTACTAGTAGTGTTCCCCCAGTGGGCGGTCGACTGAGGTATTTTAGGAAAAATTGGCAAGAGCTAACAACAGACCCTATTGTTATTAGGGCTGTCACGGGATACAAGATCGAGTTTGATGTAGAAAAAATTAAAGACTTGCCTGAATTAAAGGCTAAACGCTATAAACGGAGTGTCCAGGATGCTAAGCGCATTCAAGAAGAAATTACTAGCCTCCATCGTAAAAATGTTATTGAGCCCTGTGTACACGAAGAGGGTGAATTCATTTCTAATATTTTTACTACGCCTAAAAGAACTGGAGGTGTACGTCTAATCCTCGATCTTTCAGAATTGAATAAATGCATGATGTATAAGCATTTTAAGATGGATAATATCCACACTGTGCTGGATCTTGTATCCCCTGACAATTTTCTAGCCTCTGTCGACCTCAGAGATGCATATTATACAGTACCGATCCACCAAGAGGATAGGAAATACCTCAAATTCATTGTCAATGGTCAATGTTGGCAATTCAAAGCACTGCCCAATGGTCTCAGTACAGCACCAAGGCTATTCACAAAATTACTAAAGCCAGTTTTTTCTAAGCTCAGACAAGCTGGTCACATTGTGGTAGGATATTTGGATGACACAATCCTCATTGCAGAAAATGAGGAAAAGCTCAAAGCAGCTGTTAAGGCTACCACTGACATCCTTGCACAACTCGGGTTCATTATTCACCCTGAAAAATCGGTACTTACCCCCACCAAAGAGATAACTTTCCTTGGCTTTGTTCTGAATACAAATACTATGCAAATTAGGCTTCCAGAAAGCAAGGCGCTTGAAGCCGAACGCCTCTGTCAAGAACTTATTGACACTAAGGAGCCCTCAATAAGGCATGTTGCCAGGGTTATTGGGAAGATCGTTTCAACTTTCCCAGCAGTCCAATATGGCCCTCTCTTCTATCGTACTTTAGAGAGAGACAAAATTGCAGCACTAAAAGCAAACAGAGGTCATTTCGATAGAAAAATGACACTTTCAAATGAAGCCAAGGGTGAGCTTCAATGGTGGGTCGAGCATGTAACGTCTTCATTTGCACCAATAAGAAGACCGAAACCAGACCTTGAGTTGCGCACGGACGCCAGTGGGGCTGGCTGGGGTGCTACTAACCTCCAATCATGCACAGGTGGTAGGTGGAATGAAAAAGAATTGCACAAAGCTAGGCATTATGGCATTAACTACCTTGAAACAGTTGCTGCGGGGTTTGGCGTTCAATCCTTCTGTGCTGATATGGAAAATGTGCATGTACTACTCCGTGTTGATAATGTAACCGCAGTATCATACATTAACAATATGGGGGGCTGCAAGTCCGCAGATTGCAATGAGGCAGCCAAACACATTTGGGAATGGTGCATGAGTAGGAACATATGGCTGTCAGCTGCCCATTTACCAGGGAAACTAAACACAGAGGCAGACCACATGTCTAGACACTTTAACCACAAGACAGAGTGGATGCTAAATACAGATGCATTCAAAGAAATTGCTCAGCAATTTGGTTCCCCAGAAATAGACATATTTGCATCGAGATTAAACAAGCAAGTTGACAGATACATCTCATGGCTGCCTGACCCTGGAGCTGAAACAGTTGATGCTTTCACAATCGACTGGAAACCATTAAGTTTCTACGCTTTCCCACCCTTCTGCCTCATCGCAAAATGCTTACAAAAGATTAAATGCGATGATGCAACAGGCCTACTAGTAATTCCAAACTGGCCTACCCAACCATGGTTCCCTCTTTTGAAGAGTATGATTATTGGGGAGCCAATGTTCATAGCTAGAAGGCCAAACTTACTAGCACAGCCTATTACAAATGAGCCACACCCGCTTAATAATCAGCTTGATTTGCTTTGTTGCAGGTGCTGCGCCAGCCACTAGAAAGTAAAGGTTTGAGTGCAAGAGCTATCAATGTAATAGCAGCATCGTGGCGAGCATCAACGACAAAGAACTATGCCGTTTACATAAGGAAATGGAAGACATACTGCCATAAAAAAGGCTTGAACTATCTCCAGGCGAGATCCAATGATGTAATTGATTTTTTGTCAGAACTCTTTGAAAGTGAAAGAGCTAGTTATAGTGTTATAAATTCTGCACGCAGCGCCTTGTCTGCATTCCTAGTACTTGAGGATTCGTCATGTACAGTTGGAACTCATCCTCTTATTAGTCGTTTTTGTAAAGGAGCTTTTCAATTGCGCCCTCCAGCGCCAAGATATAAGGAGATTTGGGATGTGAACATAGTGTTTAATTATCTACGGAAGTGGGCACCAGCGAATTCGCTCACGCTAAAAACTCTGACTATGAAACTTTGCACTCTTATGGCGCTGATATCGGCCCAGCGGGTCCAGTCACTGCACAGCTTGCATCTTGACTACATGAAAATCAAAGGCAGCGAAGTTCTGTTCATTTTTAAGGACCTCCTAAAGCAAACAAAACCGGGGAATGTGAACTTCAACTTGAAAATGAAGGCATATCCACCAGACAGGAGGTTATGTGTACTTAACTACTTGCGGCACTACTTGCGCAGAACGGAGAGCGTCAGGGGACAGGAACGCTATCTGTTCATCAGCTTCAAGAAACCGCACAAACGCGTTACTACGCAGACCATCGCCAGATGGGTGAAGGAAACGTTGACCTCAGCAGGGATCGACACAGACATCTACAAAGCTCATTCTACTAGAGCTGCATCAACTTCAGCAGCAAACAGTTCAAATCTGCCTATCAAGCATATACTAGCCCAGGCGGGCTGGTCTTCTGAACGGACGTTTCGAAACTATTACATGAAACCAGTAGAGAACAGGAACGTCAATTTCACAGGTGCAATCATGGCGTCCTAAAGGATGTCCTAGAATTGGCATCGCCTTTTTAAGGTCAGCTGGTTTACCTTCTTAGCAGCATGCTTTAGCTTGCTATTCTATCAATAATGTATACTTTTGTGTTGAGCACTGGATCGGATGGCCTACTGAGCTTCGAAATCTCATTTAACGTAATCCCGAAATTGGTATTACGTAGTATAATTGAAAGATTAAACGAGAACTCGTTTGAGATTTAATCTCAATTATATAAGTAATATAAAATGAGGGTTTACGTCCCTCCCTTACCCTCCCTAGTGCTGGGTATTGTTATTAATTACAGTTCTCGTTATCTTTCTGCTTGGTTCAGTAGGCACATCCTCGGCTATCTACGAATATTGCTGATTAGCGCATGCGCACTAACGGGGTCTCATTTAACGTAAACCCTCATTTTATATTACTTATATAATTGAGATTAAATCTCAAACGAGTTCTCGTTTAATCTTTCAATCTATGTGCATTTGTGACATGTTGAAATGCTACATGTACGTAAAAGATGTTTACTGATTCGTATTTATTAAGTCCTGCCTATTTTCAGAATTCATCATACAATGGTGGATACCTATTCTTCTGGTATACACCTGTCATGTTTATTTGCTTTTGTGATCCATTATTTCACTGTAGTGCATGAAGAGTGCTTAGCAAATGTCAACACACTTGATATATAGGTACATAGACAAGAATACCGTATATCTCTGTGTATAAGACGCACCCTATTTTTAGGACCAAGATTGCCCCTTCCCCCCCCCCCCCCAACCCCCCAAGAAAAAAAAGGGAAAACAAATTGCTTTTGCTTTTGCTTTTTTGTTGACACCGAAGGCGGCAAGCCAGATCAGAAAGCGTCTTATTTCAGCATTTGGTAAGGCATGTTCTGAAACCCAAGCCATGCAGGGAAGGACTTTAATTTATTAAAGTGCATAAAAAAAGTGCGTCTTATACACACAGATTTACGGTAGTTAATTCTACTTTATGAACATTAAATCATATTTCATATAATTATTCAAGGAAATGTGGAGCTCTAACAAAGATGTACATGTAGAACAATATGTGAGCATCTCTTTCTTTGTATTTCAGTTTGGAAAAAATAGCATATATATGACAAGAAATGGCTTAAAAGTTCTTCCCTTAATCTTACAGCGTGTAACCTATACACCAACTGTTCTGGCTGTCTGTCTGTGAGGGAAGAGATCCGCTTTGACTGTGGGTGGTGTGGTAAGATCAAGCGATGCTCCAGTGGTCTCGACAGACACAGACAGGATTGGATAGAGGCTGAATGCTCTGAAAAGGTGAGAAGATGTGTCCCATTTAAGAACTTAGTGCATTAGTTAGGGAAGGGAGGGGAGGGAGGGGAGGGAGGGGGGTTTGTTATTAGAGCTCATTTATTCTCTAGTCAAGTTTTTAAACTACTCAACTACAACATGTCATCTCAATAGTGAGTGCAGTTTTATTATGCTAGAGTGCAGCCTTTCCTAGATGTAATTTTAAGCGTAAATTTAATTAGACATAAATAGATGTCTGTCATTATAATGTAATTGGTTTACTTTTCTTTCTTTTTAATTTGTTTTGTCTTTCTTTGTTTAATTTCCCATAGGCACAAGGAGAATGCTATGATCCTGGTAAGTCTTGCTGTAATGTCTATCCTAATCTTGTCTTGTGGTGAAAACAACATTTGTTAAACACATCAAGGAACAGGAATACTTGTTTAGATTTGTTATTCCATAAGCAATATTTCTTAAACTGTATTTTCTACATTGAGGTCTTTTTTGTTTTGCCTATTTAAATATCTAGAAAAATACCTACCTGCGTATATTCTATAATTTTCTCCTTTCGCCATATGCAGCTGTGAAGAGTTTTCTTAAAGCTTATCTGTATTAGTTTATAGAAGGGATTAGAGCACCCTGCAAGGTCACTAGACAGGTGGTTATCTCATCAACTCAGCTCTCAAATAACATAAGAAAAAGAGGATCATGGGGGACCAATGGTCACCGATCAGGCATTGTTTTCTATGTAGAGGAAGCAAGTAGCTACAATTAGGACAGTGTGGCTTTAAAGCATCTTCATAGAGAATTAACGGCTGAAGTGCGTGAATAAGCCTTAATATTTGCTAATTAACACTCATTTTAACCCAAGGTAGGCAAGCAAATCTTTTGTCTTTTTTGTCATCCAACGTTCCCCATTGGATAACGAGATCATGAGCATTCTGTGAAATTTGTACTGTAGCATCTTTGTTTAATATATATGTAACCAAATAAAGCTTGTATCCACCTGTTTCATCCAAAGTGTACAAAATATACAATGATATGAACATGGATTAGTGGTTCTTTCTGGCATTCTACAGCAGTTGTATCACAGAGATTTGTTAATATTTTGGATGAAATTAATGTTTTGTATCAGAAAAATTTCATCGCTTTACATACCGGTAATTATTAACCGTATCGGACATCTGAGCAGGGCAATTTTTAAATGTTATTGCCCTCAAGGTTTGATGGATAAGTCAACAAAATTACAATAAGTTAGTCCGCTCAGAAAAGTCAATGGGATTTTGTGTGTGATTTGGCTACTGTAATTTACATCGCGTATAAGAAAATGCGCACTTTGCGCGAACTCCATTGTGACGTAACAATCACACCCTAGGCAAACTGTTTGCAGTGTATCGAAAATCTGTCAAACACTGGATGAACAGTGCTGGTTTGACAATGTTTTTGTAACTTCTAATGCTAGGAAACCCTGTGTAGCCTACATAATTTAAGAGTATAAGATAGTAAGATTTTCTTGTTTGCTCTAGATGTCTGATGTGGTTAATAATAGTAATATTGACTGCCTAATTCAGGGCAATACGACTTGTCATATATCACCCTCACCTACAGTTCGGGCGATATATGTCGTATTGCCCAGAAGGCAGTCAATATTACTTAAATATTGAGATGTGCATGCAGGAGATATAGATTGTGAACATCGTACTACGGTTTAGTTTGTATCTTATGCACAGCAGCCTCAACAGTAACAAATAGAATGCCTTCGTCATCGTACAATCCAAGACCTACTCCAGTGTTTAAAGCTAGAACGTCATGGTCACCTACGATACATGCAATTCATCTAGGTTTGTAGGGTCATAACTCTACTTTACTCTTTTTATCTTCAAAGATTTCATTTACTTTACATTTTTATCGTTTTTGGTTTGGTTTTGTTATAGAGTTTTCTCTTTTCGTTTGCATTTTATCGTTGTTTTAATATTATGATAAACTATTGGTAAGATTTGTGACAGGAAAAAGAATATTAAGAAGAAACACAAGCAGTGAATGTACTGCCTAATGGGCTGCCCAGGTATATATTTCCCTCAAAATGGTTCTGTTTATGCCGTAATACATTTTATCATCAATATGATATTTACAGTTATGATTTAATATTATAATTATGTTTGTTTTGTTCTGGTATTACAGACATTCCATATAGTTCATTTGTTTTGTATGCTAATTTTGTTTCATTACAATTTTTGAAAAATCATATATTCAAAGAATTTATTTACCAGTATTTCATTTTATTTTGGATAGAAATCATTTGTGGCCAGAATGCCAATTAGGTTTGTTGACAATTAGAATAGATAAAATGGATACATAAATTGATAATGATACATTAATATCCTTGAAAACACAATAATTTGAGCATACATGATGAGTGTAGACAACCGATAAAGATAATATAAATAAAGATATACATATCTATTCATCGTAAATAACATCTGCACAATTAGTTCATTTCGCATCATGTGACAATTAATAGGCCTCATGCAAATGAATAAATTGCAAATGAATAAATTGCAAATGAATAAATTGCAAATGAATAAATTGCAAATGAATAAATTGCAATCAGGGTACCGAATGTGTTTACAGTATTCACACAAATTCATCAGATGATTGTCAATATATCAACAGGAGATCAGTAGATCTATACTTAATATTTAAAAATGATGGATTAGTATATCTATACGCAATATTGAAATATGATGGATTTAAACAAAATATGAACTGCCTATATTCAAGGCACTGATCAAACTTTAGAATCGTAAATTAGGTTGGTAGGACATTTTTTCCTGCATGAAGAACATTTGAAATAGCATTTGCATGAATGGAAGAATTTAAGCTACAAGTATTATGTATCACTTCACAGCCTCAACTGTTACGACACAGTTTGAAACTATAACTACACCACGGTCAGCTGCAAATCAAATGCGAAGTAAGCAGCACATTCTCGTTTTGATAAAATTCCGCCTTTAAATAGCACTTAATACATGAACGAGTCTCTAAGCGCTTTGTCATCGAAATTAAGCTTGCCCGCACACAATGTATGCACATTCTCCACTCCCTGAGGAGCATTTCAGCCAGGCGTTGTTTTACAGACCCTCACAATGCTGAGCAAACTACATTAATTTTCGCACCATACCAGCAGTACGGAATACTCATTAACACCTGGGTGGAGAGTGGCAAATGTACATTGACATCTTGCAGTCAAGCGACTTATCCACTAGACCACAACACCTCTACATCTCACGATAATACATTACTTTTTTACTCTTTAAACTGTTGCATTTTCTAAGTTTCATTCTCTAGCTTCTTTTTCATTCTTCTTGAATAAACCATAAAGCACTTGTAATTCATTGTCGTGAAATGAAATACTGATTTTCCTAAAAGTCTAGTATGTGAAAAAATGCAAAGGCTAACCATATTATGAACATGTTTTATCGCTAACCGGTTATTTCAATGATTATAACCTACTGAAAGTATATACATGTGATGTATCCTTTATGGAATTCAAATGTGTTTTTCAACTTCCACACAAAACAGAGTAGTTGAAAGTGAACAAATATATCATCAGCGAGCTGCCCTCAAGAAGGCAAATACTTCCATTGACAATACGAAGCACTTACAGCCTTCCTGCATTAGACCTTCTTATTTTCCATGCTGTGCAGGCTTTATTGACTAACTAAATGTTTTCATTTCATTTTACATCTTCAGTGTATGCACAGGGATGAGATTCCTCCGCGGATTGGCGGATTTCCGCCGATTTCAAGACGGGGTGGGGTGGGGGGAACAGATGTTTTAATTTTTTAATCTCTCTTATCTGAACAATGTTATAGAGTCTAGGTAACAAATATTTCTCAAATTTAGAATTTGAATGCAAGGAAAACATGTCCTTTTATGTATATATATTCTAAAGTTTTCTGAAGAAAGGGGACGTTTCTGAAGAAAGGGGACGCGGCCCCCGGAACCCCAAGTGATCTTCCTTCTTTTGGGGAATTTTTCTGTCTCGTCCCTGTATGCAGAACAACATCTATATGATGGCTGCCATCATTTCATTTCACTAGAAATGTATTTCATGCTCTCTTGGTTCTCACCCAAGAAATGCTTTTTCAGGTCTAGTCTCGCCTAACTTTGATATATATGTTATCCACATACATTGTATAGGTATTAGATTTGTGATGACAACATGTTGGTACAAATATAACATTAGGGGATTTGAATGATATTTATTTTTCACCAAGTGTCTCCATGACACAGAAAACAGAAATTAAAAAGAGTCAAAATGTTTCTTTTAAAACAAATATGTTGGGCTGAATTTGTGTAATTTGTCTTTAGTATGCCGGCTCCTTCAGATATGGCGGGGCAAAACCATGGCATTCAAAAATCTTATTATGATTTCTGTATCTTACATAATACATAGCTCAGTACTTTGTTGCGCACAGTTGCCACTCATTTGCATGTTTTTAAAAATGTGGCCATATCTGAACAAGCCTTAAAATTGATTTTCTACACATAATTCAGGGCCTGTTGCATTAAACTTACCATTGATGGTATCTTTGCCATCAATGGCACCTACCATGGTTACAGGGCTCAACAGCCAATCAAAATCAAGGTTTCCATGGTAGTTAACGTTGATGGCAAAGGTACCATCAATGATAAGTTTTGCCCAGTGAGCCCTGTTACTTTAATTTTTCACTTGGCCTATTGTTAATCGCAAGCAGGTTTTTTCCTAAAAACAGATCAAACATGGGTTATTGGGTCTTGTTTAAAGTTTAGGAGGTTATTTTGGGAGTCTAATTAGTTGAATTGTAGTAAGAAATGAAATAAAACAACAAAAACAATGAAATACATAAGAAATTATCAAATCAAGGGATAACATAAGGAATAAGCTGGCTCTTCCAAATTTTTTTGTTGTATTATTATTCAGAATGGTCTAATGAATATATGTAGTGAAAAAGAGCGCTTAAAGATGAAGTTGAGTTCTGGTCATGCGATTGCATTGTGAAAGAAACGGTGTGGAACCGACCAGAAAAGGTTGATCATTATAGCATATAAGAATTTGTGTGTATAAGGTTCTGGAATCATCAAAATGATAAGAAATTTGGCCAAGTCTTGGTAAAGTTACAAACACTGTCCATAGAAAGATGTATATGGGACTACACGAACACGTGGCGTAAAAAGCCGGCCCCCGATTTTTACGATGTTACATGCATATTTAGAATATGAAGGCATTTGAAGAGCCATGCTTTTCAGGGAACATGTCTTATCTGATGTTCTTCCACACTTGCAAAATAAGAATGAGTAATGCTCACAAATTATTTTTCACCTCTTCCCAGAACTCAACCTTCTCTTTAAATATGAATAATATATGATTTATATTTTTATGACTTTATTTGCACAAATTACCATAAATATGCAAATGAGTGAATTTTTCAAAAAATTTAAATTATCATATTATTCTATACACTTCACTTGACATGCGTGCAAATTTTCGTGGCGATCGGCCCCTTTGCGGTCGAGATCTTAAGGGGGCCATAATGGCCCCCCCCGGCCGTACCAAGACCTCAAATAGCCCGGCCTTTTTAGGGTTAAAAGGATTTCTATCAAATGTTAATTTTTTGTTCTTTTACTTTCTTTCCATTTTGCTATTTTCTATTTCATGGTGAGTTTCTCAAAATACTTGCTGTTATTGCTGCTTGTAAGATTGCTTGTTAAAGATTGCTTGTATTTTAATAGATAATGGCTTGTAAGATAATTGTTTCCAAACATAAATGTTTCCCTTGTGAGTTGCAGATGGCAATTATTTTTCTTATTTCTTTCTCTTTTTTAAGTGAGATACTTTTTAATGTATATCAGATATATGTTTGTAGTACATTTCTTTTGACAATTTTTGAGCTTTTTTCATGTTTGCTTAATCTGTTTTACTTTTTTTTTGCTTTTTGAACGGTTGAATTGCCGCTTTAATTTTGCTGCACTAACTCATTTTCCCCACTTATCAAGTTCTATGATTTAAACTAATGCACTAGATAAAAATTTGCTCAATTTTTAAAGCCTCCGCCCATCCAACATGGTCCCGGAGGCATTATATGTTTTTAATTTAAGGCGGAGGCATATAGAAGACGCAGTTGCTTTTGTCTTGTTAAAGCTACATTTTCTGTGATGAATTTATTACTTTTCTGCCCCATGCTTAAAGCCCGTCTGTACTAGTTTGGCCAGGGGGATTAGACCGGTCACTGACAGGTGGTTATGTCATCAAATCAGCTCTCAATCAACATAAGAAAAAGGGATCATGGGGAACCAACAGGCACCGATTATGCATTTTTTGCTATATAGAGGGCGCAAGCAGCTATAAGTAGTGCAGTGGGGCTTTAACAGAAAGTAGAGAAAGTTACAGACTTACAAAACCCAGTGTTTATTTGCTGACCTTTTTGTTGTTGTTGTTGCTATCTGTACTGGAACATTTTCTCTTCACTAGACCAGTGTAGAAATGAATTAGTATGGGTACCGGTACATGGAATTATTTTTGCTTACATACATGTAGCTCATTATATACTGAAAGTGTTTTAGACTTGTATTTTCTGTTTAAAAAAACAATAGTACTACGTAATAATAATTTGTAAATATCACTGCTATAGTGCATGGGTTAGTATCACTCAAATGACCTTAGAGATAGCTCACTGTTTCCTTAGCAAGTGATGCAGCTTCTCCCTATTAAACTGCCCCAGCCAAGCAATGTATATTCACACTGAATGCTGGTCGAGTACGGTATTAATTATTACTCTATTGTACATGTATATCACTGGGATATATCAGGGCTCAAAACCACCAATACATTGCTTTAAAAATGATTTTTGCCTTGTATATTTTTCTGATTTGAGAAATTCCAATCCTTCCAATGATATGTGACACTTGTACATGTAGATATCCAGTAGAATTCATTTAAATATCTGTTGCTAAGTGTAGCCTTACAGAAGTCACTGCCCGGCCCCCCCACTCAGTGTTATTTAGGGTACGCATATGCGTGTTCCAACCGACCCCCCCTTTTCAGCAAAAGTCCGGTGTGTAAAGTCAATACGGCTCGACCTTTTTCTTTTGTATACGAGCCTTTTTCCGCACCCCCCCTTTTCAGCAAAAGTCCGGTGTGTAAAGTCAATACGGCTCGACCTTTTTCTTTTGTTACGAAAAGGACATTTTGGCAACACGCATGCGGTCATTTTGAAACCTGAGTGGGGGGGGGGCCGGGAGTCACTGTCATATTCTTCATGGGAAAGCTTTCAATTATATAATTGACCTTTGATCATCATGCATGATATATGAGGATGAACTTGCTCATCTTAAGGTTCAATTGGCTTACTAATTTCAAGTCAGCAAAATACATCTAACCATGCAGAAAAGGTGACATTTGGAGGGTGTTGCTATGACATTTCATAGCATTGACATACCAATTCTTTCTTTCTTACAACAGAACACGTTATAGATAAGACAGTTATCATCATCCTGATTGTGGTTGTGATGGTGATTGCCTTATGTTTGATTGGATGCCTGGTCTACTCATATAAGAACCCTTCATCTAGGTCTGGTCAACAACTTGTTCAGGTAATGTGGAAATCTTCAAGATCAAACTTAATCTTTAGATGTGTTCTAGCTGTCTCTTTTCGTCTCTGTCCCTGTTTATCTCCTTCTAACTCATACTCTTCTTCTTGCTAGCTGTTGCGATCCCTCCCTTCCTCTCGCTTTCCCTCCCTTCCTCTCACTTTCCCTTCCTTCATCTCACTTTCCCTCCCTCCCTCTTTCCCTCTCTTCCTCCCTCTTTTCCTCTCTTCCTCCCTCCCTCTTTTCCTCTCTTCCTCCCTCCCTCCCTCAATCTCTTCCTCCCTCCCTCCCTCAATCTCTTCCTCCCTCCCTCCCTCCCTCAATCTCTTCCTCCCTCCCTCCCCCTCTCTTCCTCCCTTTCTCCCTCCCTCTCTCCCTCTTTTCCTCTTTTCCTCTCTCCCTCTTATCATCTCTTCCTCCCTCCCTCCCTCCCTCCCTCCCTCCCTCCCTCCCTCCTTCCCTCTCTCCCTTCACTCCACTCCCCTTCTCTGGCATGATAAGTAACCATTAATTATAATTCGTAATAGTAATGACAATGACAAAAATGCTATCTTTTTGTAGTGCTTAATTATCACACAATATGATGTCTATATGCACTTCCAAAGAGCTTGAGAAATTATTACCTAGATTTTTTAGTACGCGTACTATACCTTTAAAGAGTGGGGGGAGGGGGGTCAGGCTGAGGGGGGTGTAGATTGACATCTTGCCAAGGAATGTTAGTATTGCGGTAAGGATTCGAACCTTTATGTAAAAGAATTTGTTCATCTTTTTTACCCTTGCAGATCCAGCAGCGAGTACGACACCTCGTACGTCGCAACCCGCGAGACAACTACGAGGAGAGCATCGTTGGTAACATGCAGGAGTCCAAGCCTACCCCACCCCCTGCCTACTCCCCTCCTCAGGACTCGCCCTCCATCCCTACACCCCCGATGTCTGGCGCGCCTTCTATCATCACCACCACCGGCGCACCAGGGGCAACCACGCTCGCCGGTAACGGGGATGTCGGTGGTCAAGAAGAGCCAGCGGTCGATACCGGGGTTGACCCTCATGCCCAAACAGCAGAGTGTTGATAGACGTATCAAGAGTATCAATCATCCTCAAACTATTGCCTTTGACATCCCAACACGGTAGATCACTACTGCTAAATTTCTACTTGTCTTTGATTAGTACTCAGTTTTATTCTACATTTAATTATTCAATGTGTTTTGTATGTTTAGGGATACTTTTCAAACCAAAAAAATGTACACGTATTCACATCTTTGTCATTTTGTTAAAGAGTGTCCTGTTTTTTTAATCAATAGAAAATTTGAGCAGAAGAGTATTTGTTACTCTTTTTTTTTCCATCAACCAAATATTTATATTTTGTCTCACCAGTTTGCCCTATGTGGAACTTAATTGTATTCATATGGTCCCATTTAAAACCCAGGATTTTTGTTTTCTTTGTAAAAGATACTTTTGCGACCAATCTTTTTGAAAATTGGAGGGAATTATGTATATTCATGTATGATCAGGGATCTACATGTATGATTGCTGTATTGGATTTGTAATGTCTTTTAAATACAAGGTATTTACAAAAACATGGTACACTTATAACATTCCTTGTACACTTTCGACTGGTCAACGATGTCATGGTATTTATTTAACCAACAAAAAGAGAATTTTTGCATAAATATTTATGCAATTAATTTTTTTATTGATTAATGCAATGCATTCCTAGTACTATATACTTGTTACTTTAAGGAAATGTTTGGAGGGGTTTCTAAGGGGATTCATTTAAATGTGACTGTGTTGTTAGTTGGTTTATGTGGCTTCGATAAAATTGAACTCACATGCACTGTAGTCTAACACTTTAACATATTATATACCAGGGATGAATCATGGGTTATTTTGTGTTGTATGGCTGGTAATTGGGGATTTAACTGCTAGAAATGGGCATGAGGTTTAACTTTTTGATAGAGTGTAACTGAGAAGTTATCGAAATGAAATGTACATTACCATGATCAAATGATAAATATTAAGATTGAATGCTTCAGGAAGTATTCTTTAATCACAGAGAATTTGAGAAAAAGAAGTTCATGCGCCATGAGCGCCGAGCTGGCTGACACCGGCACTATAGAAGATATCGTTCTTATTATTATTATTGTACCGTAATTAACGGTGTATAAACCGCACCTTTTTGCCGCCGAAAAAAATTCAAAGTCGGGGGTGCGGTTTCTTTTTTTTTTAAGTTTTGATTTATTTCCCTCCACCTGGCGCTATGCCTGGCAATGTCTCCCAGCTCAGTAATCAGTGTGTTGAATCACCACTCGGAAACTAGAACAACACTCAAATTTGTCTGTCACCTTGGCTTGAAAGTAATCTTATTGATAGATCTCAATATGTAGTTTATAATAATAATTCCTCCAATTGTTCTTCTATTACACGGCGTACCACAAGGTTCTATCCTAGGTCCTCTACTGTTTTTTTAAATTTACATTAATGATCTTACACATTCAGCTGCACCTCGCAGTTAAATGAAAGGCCTTCCCGCGTGTGTTTTTTAACACGGACCTGGCTTGCTGCCGACAGAATCGGCAAAACCAAAAAACTTTTTTTATTCTTTCTTTTTTTTTTTAAGGGCGAAAAAGAGGGGTGCGGTTAATACGCGAGGGCGGTTTATACACCGTTAATTACGGTAGGCTGAACCGGTCAATTTAGATGCATAGATACTGTACATGTAGATTGTTGTGAGGCTGAAACAGACTGATAGTATTCAAAGGTATTCAGATGCAATAGAACTAAACAGTGTTATCCGTACCATCTAGGGTTTTTATCAAAATGAAATGAATTTATTTATTATGGGATGTTTCCCTCTATTGTATAATATGATGAATAGTTAGAACTATATATTTCCTATAGTTGTATATGTATATATAGATACTGGTAATAATACATGTACATGCACATGTTTAGAGATATAAGAATAAATAAATTAAATAAAGGACCAAGTTGACAAAACTCTGATTTCATGAGAATGTTACAGTCCATTGTGAGTCTCCTGACTGCTATAGCATTAGTCCATTATTAAGATTGATTAACTCTTGTTGGGAGAATTTGAGTAATTTGAAGAAATAGCAGTGTGACGTTATTTAATGCAAATAATATTCTATTTATTCTGATATTGAAATGAGCGCCTTTTCATGGTAGCTCGGCTAAAGCCGGGGTGATACTTATGATTGCAGGGCCCTCAGGGAGAACAGTGTTAATACTGATGAGGCTACCCTGGGTAAACAACACATATCATTATTATTATTTTTACAAATGATAATTGTAAGGAACATTGTAACTTCATTTTATTTTGTGCTAATACTCTGTTACGATGAAGTGAAATTGAATTAATTACCCAAGAACGAGGCAATTCTTTGGCTTTCCTAAGTACATGTAGAAGCAATATTCATATTGTTGGTTAGAGATTGTAGAATTTTGACCCCACATACATGAATTTATCCTCTTCATATCGTTTAGTGTATTGATCTCTATTGCTGCCAGCTGGGGTTAACATTTCTAGCTTCATCTAGTAAATCTGCTGTTTTCATATGTTTAATTCTAACGCTGTTTCGTTGTATCAGCTCATAAGTCAACCTGCCTTTCTGAACAGGGTCACTACTACGCATGATTGTGGAGTCAATGTCATACATTATTCTCATACATTTACTGTTATTAGTAGTGTTTGTTCATGGGAAAAACATCTATGTCACCTTTCAAAGATGTAAACTGTAAGGTTCTGTTAGTTATAGATTGTTTGAACCAAATATACCCTAAATAGCTGATTGTGCCTTACACCCTTATTGCATTGCAGTCCAATTGATTTGTTGTATGACTTGACACTTTTTGTGTGAAATGAAATATCGTACTTGCGTATAAATATCTGGAAAAACATCTTGTATACAGATACACGTGTGTTTAATACAGTATATTAGAAATGGAAAACACAACCTCCAATTGTTTATGAATAATTTGAAATTACCTGAATATTAAAGATCCTCAAAATTTATTGAATAATGAGGTTCATAACTTTAACCCTGAAAATTTTAAATGAAAACGATGTATTTGGGTAGAGCTACATGCTATTAATGACTGAGTACATGGTAATATATTCACAAATTGAGTAATAGCAGCCAGTGAGTGAGTTTTTAAGATAGTGATGACTCTTAAAGTCTAAACTATCACATATTATAATAATTATCATCCATATTGTTGCTCCTTTACTTAGTCTTGTAATTTTCAAATGATCATTGCGTTTGTTGTGTTATAAAACTAGATATTTTTTTGGAAAAATTTGTTAATGTTTTTGAAATTTGAGTTGATTATGAAATGATATTTCTGCTATATATACAATGTACTCGTGAATGGGAAATCATAATGCAATGTACACAGAGTCATTTCTGCAATTCTGCAAGAAAGATTATATATTTTTATACAGAGGCCAATGGCCATTTAAATTAAAATCACAAAATTCATGTATTTTGGTTTAGAAGTAGATTTAGGAGTACCGGGTAGTACTTGAACTGTATTTATTGAAGTTATTGTATTCATTCATACTTAATATCTCTACTCTACGTGAGTGCATCTACATGTACTTGTATGTACAGTTAACAGCTAAATTGTTCATACCCCTTGTGAATTTGATTTGATTTGATTTTTTTTGTTGGTAACTCAAGAATGTAAGGAGGTCTGGTCAAATAAGGGCCTTTGTTAAATACTGTTAGATGTGACCTTAAATATATCAATTTCGCAATAAACATAAGTCTGGACAAATCAATTTTTGTCACTAACTTGAAAAATTACATAACTTGGTAAGGTTATGAATTTAGTTGTTAAATTTATGTATGTAAGTTTAGCTGTTGATTTATGAATTCTCTCTAGGCTGTCCCCCATTCAAAATTCATTCAGTTACTATCCATTGGCTTAAAAAATGGATTAAGTTGTGAACCAATCAATAAACATTTTACCCTTCACTGTTCAACTCAAAAGATGACATTTTATCAAACTGAAGTTTGCATATCAATTTCATTTTCTTTTTCTGGAAAATGTTCACATATTTCCCCCAAAATATGTTTAATAATATTTATTAGGTTCTTTCAGTATGATGTGGTCATGTTTTGTGTTCTTTATTTTGTGTGAATTTAGGATTGTATGAAATTTTATTTTAAGTCTTGGGGGAAAACTTGAACACCATATCTGATATATATGTACATGTATATTGAAGGTTCGTACCGAGTCTGCAATGTTCATGTATGCGTTTATGTAGTAAAGTCATCAAAGCACAAGCTATATATAGACTGTTGTTAGATTCTAGTTACAACCTAGTAGCCAGGATAATTTATTGTATTGTCTAATGAGAGTCATGAGAGCATTTATTGTGATTAATTTATTAATTGACTCTCTTCTGGCTTTGAGCAGGCAATGACAGAAATACCCCCAAATACTTCTTTTAATAATATGTTATTCGTCATACCACCTTATATGTGATTCATAGATTGCAATGTATTTGTAAAACTTTGTACCCGCGGTATTCTCCTATCATTTGTGTATGTTATATGTCATGTCACTCATCTGTGTGTAGCACTAGACAGTATATTTGTAAGAAAGAAAAAGAATTGTACTTGTGATCTAGTTGTATTTGGTTCACATGTTGGATAGAGCAATGTGTTTTTAGAAAAAAGGGTACTTGGTGTATTGTGTAATGTAGATAGACTTTATACAAAAAAATGTAAAAATGGATAACTAAATTTTTATAGCACTTTGATTGAGATCTATTTGTATATTTTGGCACGAAAACAGAGATTTATTCATACATCTAATCTGCACTCACGTGTATTTATGATATCTAAATGTGAATTCAAATATTGTAGTGGATTTATTCAATAAAGAGATTGCTATTTTTAGGCAGAGAAAACATTGTGCAGAATTACTTCGTTTTCATTTCTCTCGATTTTATTTAGATATATTTTTTTTAAATAGCAAAGTTCACTGCATGGACTAGTTGGATGAAGTATTTCAACAAATATTTCTATAATGAATAATAATGATAATAGTGGGGTTTTAGCACGGCTGCAATTTCAGCGCTCAAGCATTCGAAGGAATTAATTCCTGCCAGGTACAAATGTAGATTAATGTCTTGCCAAATAATATTATTGTTGCAAAAGGGATTTGAACCCTGTACCTTGTGGTCCACAGACTCGTCTCCCGGACCAGAACGACTCTTTGAACTCTTCTCAAAATTGATTTTTTTTTACTGTGTAAAGTTGAGGGATGCTCCCCCCCCCCCCCCCCCCCACTCGGTATTATTTAGGGTACGCGTATGCATGTTCCCTCCCTTTGAAAGCACCCCCGTAAGTCTGGTGTGTGAAGTCAATATGGGCCAATTTTTTAGTGTATTACAAACCAGACTTTGTTGCCTGAAAAGTACCCCTTTACCAGAGATTTGGGGAACATGAATGCAGTCCCTCCGTTCCCAGAGTGGGGGGCCAGGGAGGGATGTCAGTATGGTTTTAGAATGGTTTAGGGTGTCTCTTCCAATTATTTTTCTTCAAATGAATGCTTGATGGATATTTAATAAATTTTTCACTTTTGACAAAAACTAGGTTGGAAATCTGTGAGAATGAGTAATTAATACAGAACACTATTGTGCTTTTCAAACTTCATCAAATATGAGTTTCTACTATGATATTAAAAATTGTGATTACAAAAAAAAAACCCACCTACATGTAGCATGACATGACACATATAGTTAACTTTTTTTGCTAACTTCAGAATGAAAGGTGGACTGGTTGAATTAGGACCTTTGTTGAATACTTTAAGGTGTAGGCCTTGATATGTTACATTCTCAAGAAACATAAATCAGAACAAATCAGTTTTTCAATTACATAAATAATAAAAATTACAAAAACTTTGTTTAGGGTATGAATTGTTTAGTTGTTAACTGTACCTGTCACAACCAAAATGCCAATGGGAGGTTTCTAAAATCATTTTTGATACAGTTGTATATTTTGTTGCTTTTTGACAGGCTTTCTTAAACTTATGTGTATACTGTAGATTTTTCTGCTTTCACTCATACATTTAACACATATGAGTGGCATGTATTCAAGTTACAATAACAAGTTACACAAAAGGGCACCCCATTAATTTTGTTTGTGTCTAAACAAGCAGCGTTCTCAAGTCGTGATACATTCATGAACAGTCACATCGCAAACCTTCTTTGATATTTACACTTTACAAAATTACACAGTAGACAATATTTACATAATTGATTTGTTTATTTACATTTGTTTGTCAATCATTTTCAACAAATTAGGCGTACATTGTCCATATAAATATCACATGAAATGTAAATTCACATTACTATACCAGTATGTAGTAATCAATGTGAAGCCAGCGTCATGGACAGACGTATTGTACTCTTCCCATGCAGCCCAACTAATGAACAGCCAAATGTGATTGCAACTTCTGGTTCTACATATGTAAATGTAAATCTATCATAACACATGTATTGAACATTCTCAAAGTATTTTCAGCCCCAAAAAGGGGCGATTCACACTCGTACAAAATATTGTCTTTCATTTGCTCTGACTGTACGACCCCCCCCCCCCCCCCCCTACCCGCCGCCGCCCAAAAAAATCAGCAAAATTGTGATATTGAGTCATTGTGCAATTAAAATTAACTCTACTCATCTGAAACTTTTCTGACCTGCTGTTATAACTTTGAGGTATAGAAGAGTACTGTGCAATACAGGGGATACTTAGATAAAGATGTTACGTGTCAACATCTCAGAATACCATGAATAATAACAATGATAAAACGGTGCTTATACTTTTTTTTACTAAAGACATGGAACTGACCCAAGACCAACTCGAACACATATATGGGTGTGTGTGTAATTTGTTTTTTTACAGACATGTATCAATCAGATACGATTCTTTACGTCTGGGGACCGACCGTTAAAGGCATCGTTTAACAATGTTAAATCTGAGATGCACGGCCCCTACATGTTATTAGTGTCTCAAGAAGTGCCTCAAAAAAGTAAAAATCTTTGAGTGACTGGTTTTACCATATTCATGTTCCCCAATAGACTGTAGTGTTGAGAAAACCATTAGGAAAACGCCAAATTTGATTTTGATTTTCCAATCATAAATATCTTGATAATCAGACAGGTGATCGGCTTGTAAAAGTCATGGGGTTCCTGACTGACCTAAAGGTTTATAATTATGTTTGCAGCCTGAGCTAAATCCAGGATTTTGTTTCAGAATCTGAGACAAAGTTACCCAATCCCTTTAACGTCACCATCCAAAAGACGCGACTCGGTCTTGAACCGCAGTCTGCCGAGTCAGTTTGTAGGCAAAGACAGAGAGCTGACCGTAACATGGACAATACTACGAGACCAACTCACATCTCCCTGTAAGCCTTGAAACAAGGAATTCTAAATATCAAATATAGCAAATGATTTGTCACTCAATGAAGGGAAGTAAAGTTTATAGGAATTTCCTTTCTTCATCAAGATCAACTTCAAGGAGAATACTTTAAAGCTCACATCACATACATGTACACATCCAACCTTGTGTTCCTGAGAAAATGGCATTATAAAAGTCATCCGAAAACAATATCAGATTCTTCTACTAGGTTTTGAAATGGTATAATCTATAGAATAAATTATTAAGGGAAATGAAACAGTAGAAAACATTATGAATCAATAAACCTAACCCTAACATGTCATATAAAACCTCACATGCAGATAAAAACAAATCTTACTACAATGTATTTGTGAGCACGAGAGTAATGCATGTGAGTTAATAAAAAAATATTTAACCCCAAACTAATAAAAATGTAAAAATGGGCACCCTAAAGAGAAACTTATTGAAACAACTTAAAATCCACCAATCTTTAAGAAAAACTTGAATGGTACGTTTTGCATAATGATGCTCATTTTCATGTCTAAACATTGTTTGGTGCGATCTTTTATACAGGCTTAATGTAGACCAAAACCAATACTATTACAAGCCACAGTTTTAAGTATCAGTATATTTTACTTCACTGGAATTCTTCTTCAGTTTTCTTAATATTTGACCAATAAATGACTTTCGACTCCGGGGAAAGTCAGTGAACACAGAGAGGCGCATGAAATGTCACATTGATGGTCCACATTGTCCAAGACCACTGACGACACAGACTGTTTGGCCCAAATTCACAAAGGAGGTTTAGATTTAAACCATGGTTTAAACCCTCATTTACCTAACCCTTGGTTTAAAATAAGCGCAAAGTAAGCGCGTCACAAGACACGCGCAAAGCAAGGTATGCTTATTTTGCACTAATTTTTAAACCATGGTTTATGTAAATGAGCGTTTAAACCATGGGTTAAATAAATCTAAACCTCCTTTGTGAATTAGGGCCTTTGGGTTCCAATCTATGAGAAATACATATAACATGTAACTACACCATCTTTTATAAACATACGAAAGGACTGAGTATAAAATTGTGAATATTAAAATCATTGACATTATGAAAATAAGGCAAGGGACTTCCAACAAAACCTCCAGTTATTTGCACACAACAAAGGGCACAATGAAATAAAAAATTGAATGAAGATTGTCCATTTTGCACGATCCATGGCAATAGAATCATGTGAATTCTTGATGTTTGTCCATAAATTATTCTGCTTCATTTGATGTCCATGAATCGTACGTCACTAAGGAGAAGGTATCGCCGTGGTAATGGTCTCGGAGCAGGTGAAAGCACTGTGAATGTTTTCCTCTCCATGTCCACATTGGTGCTGAGGAAAATGAAAATGATGAGGGGGAATATCTTAATGAGGTTGATATAAACCTACTAGGAGAAAGATATTTGTGTATAAGACGGTTTAAAGCTCAGGCACAGTTTTGGTAGTAAATAGAAAATAGCAAAGAAACATTTTAAATACTGTATGTATGTAGTCTCATGTTATTCTTGTTTTTTATGTTCATTTTTTTAGGAGTGTGCACGATTTTGCTATGATCAATTGCTCTAATGCCTTGATTGGAAACCATTATCTCCCCCTTCTCCAATCCCCACCCTTCCCAATCTTTTGAACTTCAGCAAAAAGGTCCATTAACCCTTTCAGGGCAGGATTAATTTTCAGGGCTAACTTGATCTTCAAATTGGCAACTATAATATTTGTCTGTTTTTGCTACATTGTTAAAACTCAATGTTATGTCTCTGAAATCAATATACATGGGCAAGAATGGTATAAAAAATTGAAAAAATGGCAAATGTTGACAGAAAAACAACGATTTCAAATCTCTCTACATGTTGCCAATTCAAGACTTTCAAAGCTTATCGTCACTTTTTAAATTCCTGGCATCAAAAGCAATGCAGTCGTGAGACAAAAATGGATGCAGAGTGTGTACAAACTTTTGCCCTTCTACTTATATACCTGGCATATTTTAAATATAGAGCAAAACCACAAAATGTGGAATTACTGTCGAAAAAGGGTTAAAGATAAATGAACCTCCCCTTGGGAGAAAACCAAATAGTATATGAAACCAATTGCTGATACTTACATAACAATGAAACCAGCTACATTGGTAGATAGAAGGTCGTCCTCTTTGGTATCAGCTAGACTTACACTAAGTAGATGATGAACAATTTCTGGACCTGAATAAAAGAAGATAAGACAGTCACCCTTAAATCATTGAAAGTGATGACAAGGACCATTTAAACCTTTAATCTGCACCCTCGCCCCCCCCCCCCCCCACACACATACACTCAAACACATTGAAGCTTTGCAATTTGTGATTTATTTTTATAAACACAGGAACTGTAGGCATTTACAATTCGTGAAAGTTTGTGGTTTTGCAGTGGGAATTTTCATTGGTCACATTACCGACATCATCACGGGTTGGTATGTTGGGCAATCAATTTCATACTATAAAGTTTTCAACAACAAACCTACCTGGATTGACTGGAACTAGTTTAGTTTGGTTGTCTTCAGGAGTCATCCCGAGAGGTAGGCAAGAGTTAGGTACAGGAGGAGCTAAAGGTGAAAAAACACATCAATAAAAAAAAAAATTCTCATAAAGGTAATGCTTCCTGGGAGAAATTTCAATAGTTTGAACATATTTGTGGCTTACACCCAGCAAGCAGTAGATGGCAGGTTCAAATCCTGCTGGTTCCAAGATTTTTTCTGACTTGTTTTTCAATTACAGATCTATCAATTGATCTTATTTACTGGGTGTAAGCCACAAATATGTTCAAACTAATAAAAGAATTATAATAACATTTTGATTTTGGTTATGTTCACAAGCTACAAGAAACAAAAAAAAATCAAGAAATAAGTGACTGGTAGTGGTTTAGTTTGCCTGACTTCATTCCAAGAGGTAGACAGCAGTTTTTTTACAGGAGCTACAAAAAATAAAACAAACAAGTGAAGAAAAAAACTAAGAAGATGGCTACTATTTTCATATTGAAAATTTGTCTGAACTTGTTCTTGTATTTCAGTTTCACCCAACCTGAGATCTAAGATCATGTATAACAAAGAAAAACTTAGACCTCAGACAATTTCCTTTGTTAAACCCTAATTTTGGACTGAAGATTTAATCCAGCGTCGTGTTCAGATTTTTAGGAGCCTACTGGTCAACGAGTTTGGGGCTCATGTGCATCAGACCCTAAAATAAGTTGTGACATACAATCAAATGAAGTCAAGTGGGATCTAGATCATACCTCCGACCTTGTAGATTTCTACATCAACAAATTTGACCTCGAAGGAGTGAGGATAGTAACAGCAGTTAAAGCCGTAGAAGTACTCTCGAACTTTCTCATCTCTTGTAAATCGCCTGAAACCCTGAGATCTCTCTACCACCTGAAAAGTGAAAAGAAGAAACAAGTTTTAAGTTCGTACTGAAATATTAAAGGTAATCTCAAGTCTTAAGTCCTGTCTCATAAAGAGTTATTATATATTAATCAAACTTATTTGCGATTGATATCAATCGCAACTCCTTATAAGATGAGACCAGAACCCAGTCTTATAAAGAGTTGCGCTTGATCTAAATCAATTGCAAGTTTGCAGTCTCTTATCTCTTTTGTACATAGTTGATTAATTGCAACCCTTTATAAGACAGGCCCTGATCTACATAGAAATTAATTCTCATAGAATAAAAAAACTAAACTGTATGTTCAAGACTACAGAAAAATTATATCTTCCAAACAACTTTGGTATCTATACTGTATCATTCATTTTCAAGAAGTGCTAATGGCCAAGTAATGCACAGAAATAGATTGAAAACTGAGCTAGTATTGTCAAACCAATACAATACAATCTCAAGCAATACAACTGACTACGCCAACGCCAAGGCACTGTTTCCCAAAGCTCTTTAGAAGTGCATCTTTTGTAGAGACCTGGGGGTGTTTCATAAAGCTGTTCGCAAAGTTACGCATGACTCTACAAACAGCTTTATGAAACACCCCCCAGATACCATGATATTATTGCCCTTTAATGAAGGACATTTCTTTACTAGTTACTTACCCCACCAGATTTGGATTGTAGAACGATTTTTACGAATGAAGGCATGTCTCGGACCAACTCATTGTATAACCTCTCCTGGTCTAGCACGATGATCACATCAACTATTGGGTAGAAAATAAACAGACTCGTAATACTAAAGCATCGTTCATACATAGCACGATGATCACATCAACTGTTGGGTAGAAAATAAACAGATTCGTAATATTAAAGCATCGTTCATACATAGCACGATGATCACATCAACTGTTGGGTAGAAAATACTAGACTTGTAATATTAAAACATAGTTCTTACACGACTTAGTTAATAGCCCTTTAAAAAAACAATGCTCTGTGAACAAAAACATGACAGAGTGTCGTAGCGCACCTATAGTTTCAACCAGGAGCCAGGAAAATTCAGCCTAAAACTATCTTCTCTACATTGCAAAGGTGAACAGTAAATGTACTCCACAATGTTTTCCTGAATACATGAACAACTCAAAATCCATCGAAATCTGAGATATGCTACACATTTATTTTCACGCACAATTCCATGTTATAATTAGAGACAACCTGGAATTGTGTAGCCTAATGGGTCAACATATCATTGAAAAAAAAATTGTCATTTTGCAATTCTACTTTCTAGCTGAGGTAAATGGAAAGGATCAGGTGCATGATGTACAGGAAATAAAAGTGATATCCTGAACAACACATAACTAATGTCCCTTTTCAACCAAAATGATGGATTGTCCACAGTGACCACCGATCAACATGGCACTATGAAATTACTCTTCTACTCATAAGACTATTATCAAAATGTCTCATTATTTCCAATAAGCCAGTTCATGGTTGCAGTCTGAGCATGAGCAGATAAAGGTCATTGCAGAACAAAATGTGAAATACACAGAGACAAAATACTGGATACATGCTCATGAAAGTTATGTAATCATTATGCACAAGCAGTGCACTCCATGATACACAGGTGCAAGTATATGCTTTGAAAAGGGGAAACAAAGGCTATTTATGTAGCCCCTCCATCGCTGTAGGAGTGATTATTTCAGAATGTACAAAGTGGAACCTCTTCATGTTTTGAAGATCTGTGGATATTCAGGGTCATTTGGGACATGTGCTAACCATGAACTGGTCTATTATGGCATCACCTGTATCCCATCGCTTGATCATTACCTTCAAAGGCCTGAGCTGCATATTTGAGAGACTGGTAGCCTTCACCTTTGATCCAACCACATGTATTGATGACACACCCACTCTGAGCAACTGTAATAACAAAGATGAAGGTCAAAGGTCAAAGGTTATAAAGATGTTGCAATCATACTGGCTTCTTGAGTAGTAAAAATATCTATATCACAGTGAAACTTCTAGTGCTCTAATAAAAAGTAGTACCCAGCAATATGTGTTGATGACATACCCGCTCTGAGCAACTATAATATCAAAGAGGAAGGTCAAAGGTCATCAAGATATCAGTCATACTGGCTTCAGAATAGTGAAAATGACCATCTCAAGGCGACATGTAGTATTTCTTCCGGCCCATCAATATAAATATTGTTACCAGTTACAGGTCAGCTGTTAGTTTGTACCCTACATCACATGTAACGCTCAAGCATATGAAGTACCTTCTCACAGGTATCAGAACTATAATGATGGGCAGATGAGGGGGTGGGAGGAGGGGGGGGGGATTCAAGCTCTTCATGCCTTGATTTAGTTTGAAGTAAATGAACCATTTTGTTGTTTCTACTCTACATGACTTTAACTCAAGATTATAACAATTATTGTCTTTTCTAATAATGAATAATTCCATATTCAATAAGTATGAAATTGGTATGCATCCAGGGATTTTGATTATTTCACTGTAATAAATGAAAGAAATTAAATTTATTGTTGAGTTTATTTATAAATGTAACTGCATTTCTATAGTTGGAGGACTTTTCAGAACTTTAAAAATTTGCACCCAATTGTGTCCTGGGCACCTACATGTATGGTTTCAAGCCCTGTAGGAAGTATATCTTATTTCCTAGTAAGTAAGTCTTTGTAGAATAAAAGTCAGTCTATTTTCTTACTTCTTGAATATGTTTTGCATCGCATTGCAAAGACCTCTGCGAGCTTGGCTGTGAGGATCTCATAGAGCTTCATATTAGCGCCGGGTGAGGTAGCCCCAAAGTGATAGACTAACGGAGCAGTGAGGGCAAAGCCTTGTTCTACATCGGCCGGTCTCTCTACCAGCAATGCTCCTACAGTACCAGGCACAGACACAGAACCCTGTAAGGGAAAAAGAATAAAAACAAATAGGAAAAAAAAGACTAATTTGAGTATATACAGTAACAACACTTGTACAAAATGACTCATGTTCTACTAAAGTTCCTTTGAGTGGGGGCTTCATATCAACTTGTATCACTGGGGCCCAGGTTACATATTTTATGGTTCGTATGCATGAACCCCATGTCAGAATCTTTAAATTGGGGGGGGGGGGGGTCAGAACTTTAAAAAAATCACCCAATCATATCTTGGGCACCTGTGGTTTCAAGTGACTTACTAAACATCAGATTTGATATGCAGCATTTACTTACTAAAATGAATTGAACTTAAGGCTCCAGACCTGCCAACCTCTGGAGTTCAAAAACTGTATTCTTTAATCCCAAAAGTTGTATTTTACTGACAAAAGTTGTATTCTTAAAAATAAACATGGAATGTTACGCGGATCAATGCGTCTTACAGTTCCTACATACAGGGAGACATTTTTTAAAGGATCGTTGGTTGAATATGCATGATTTCGTCACGACTGGTGTGTTCGATGATCCAATGAACATCGCCAAATTGACGATGTAAGATGCTTGTAGGATACTTTATAGGACAGAATGGGCAATTTGTCATTGAAAATGGCACACACACATACAAAATACCACCAAAAAAAAAATTATTTAAATTTTTTTTTTTTTTTTTAATCGTATTATATTGAGGAAAATCGTACTGTCGTATTTGCTTCTAAAAATCGTACTAAATACGACTAAATCGTACTGGTTGGCAGGTCTGAGGCTCCATTTTAACCATGCTTTTGATATTGTTAAGGATATAATTTAGGCCTTTGGTTGTGGTTGTATTTTTAAGTTAGTTTGAGGATAAATGTATAATGTTGGATCTGGATTAGGAATTAGTGTCATGGTAGCATATATCATGTATGATCAATTATGATAATCATATAAACTATCATCCCTATCAGTTCAATCAAGATTTGATCCATTTGAAAAGGTTAGGAAAAGTAGAGGTGTTGTGGTCCAGTGGATAAGTATACGGACTGTAAACCACAAGGTATGGGGTTTAAATCCCTGCCACAAAAAAAAAACGTCCATTGGCAAGACGTTTGTCTATATTTGCAACACTCCACCCGGGTGAAGTAAATGAGTGCCTGGTAGAATTATTCCTTAAAATGTACTGTGCACTGATAACGGCTGCCAGAGCTAAAGCTAGGGTAATAACTTCCAAAGCTATTTCGAAGAGCATAGGGACGTTATATCACAATGTGTTACTTGCTTTACAAGAACAGATTATTACTACCCTAAATCTCCGTGTATAAGGCGCACCCCTATTTTGAGGACAAAAAAAAAAATGGGGAAAAAAAAAATTCTGGAAAAAAAAGAAGAAAAAAATCGGGGAAAAAAAAATTCTGTCATCTTTAGTTTAAAAAAAAAAAATTATTGCTAGGTCTAACTTAGTTCACAAGCACTTCAACTGTGCCTCGTAATAAAATCAAAGTATTTCAAACACTGAAATGAGAGCCGATCTGGTTAACAAAAAGCCAAAAAAGCCACACAAAAGCTTTTTGGGCTGTTTTGGCTTTTTGTTAACCAGATCAGATCGGCTCTCATTTCAGTGTTTGAAAATACTTTTATTTTATTACGAGGCACAGTTGAAGTGTTTGTGAACTAAGTTAGACCTAGTAACAATGTTGTTTTTAAAACTAAAGATGACAGAAAAAATTTCCTCGTGAGTCCAAACAGAAATTTGGACAGGCTAGTTTTCGTGAGTGAGTGAGCTGCATGATACAGGTGAGTGAGCTGAAGACACGGGAGAGCTTCGGCTGGCAAAGTGCTTTGTGAAGGGGCATAATTTATCGTGACTGAAGAAAAAAAACAAAAAAACTCTCTTCCCTTCAAATTAGGAACGTAGTTTAACTTCAAATAGTAAATCCTATTCTTTATTTGCATTATGTAATTCATGTTGAGTCACAGAGATTTTTGAAAACCACTAAAAAGTGGCATTTTGAGAACTCGAAATATCCTGTACCTGTGTATACGGCGCACCCCCGACTTCTGATTTTTGCCGACGGAAAAAAGTGCGCCTTATCCACAGAGATTTACGGTATAACTATTATTGAAAGACTCATTAAAAAATTTAGTTTAAGTTAAGGATCTAAAAAAGAGCAAACAAAAGTAAATTGTCAGTGTGTTTCTTGCAATCACAAATTATGGGATGAAATTTCTCGTAAAATAAGAGTAGACTCACCTGACCGACATCTAATTCAATGAAAGTAGGTCTCCTACCGACCCTGACTGCATAGTTTAACAATAATCTGCATACTGTGCTCTTCCCCACGTCTCCAGGTCCTACAACCATCACCTAAACAAAACAAATTGATAAAAACAACAAAAATATGCATGAATTAATGCAAAAGTCCTGAACAGAGCAAACAAAGAGAGAGAACTGATTAATGCAGTGCAGAAGAGAAAACTAGTGTATGTTGGTCATGTTTTGAGAGATGGAGGATTGTAGAAGACCTTGCTGGAAGGAATGGTAGAGGGTAAACGAGAAAGGGGTAGACAGCGAATCACTTGGTATGACGATGTCAAGACATGGACAGATCTTAACTATGGAGAGGTTAGAGCAAGGGTATATGACAGATAGCGATAGAGGTGCATAGCCGGCAACCCCTTCTGAAGGGAAGCACTAGATGATGATGAATGCACAAGAAAAGGTGTCCTCCTTAGGCTATCTTTAAAATGTTATCACCACCCCTCCCTCCCCCCCCCCACCCCCCCCCCCCCCCCAAAAAAAAAAAAAAAAAAAAAAAAAACTTTTGACACTATCCAGTATCCAGGACCTGCATGGCAAAATTTAAAATGGTAATGGCTAAGGCTGACTATTAACTGATCAGAATCTTTATATCATATTTGCGATTGATCGCAAACCTTTATGTTAAGAGGCACAGAACTAATTTGTTCTTCATTTCCATAAACATTGAACGTATCTTTCTAGGCAAGTTCTGAATACACTTCTTTTTTTTTCCTCTCTGTAATGGCCTTTTGTAGAGTTTACCAAGGCATATGAATGACCTACATGTATAACAACTCAAATGCACAGAGAAATTCATCAAGATATGACAAAAAAAATTTCATTCCACTTTTACACATGTGTCTGCACTTTCATGATTCAATAACATATGGCACTATTCAAGTACCATTGAAATCACAGAAAAAAAACAGAGTAAATGAAATGTAAAATCTTTTCCTAACCTTAGGTCCTCTAGTAGCCTCCAGTTCAGCCTGTTGTCTCATTTGTTCTAGAGCTGCATGTGTGTTGAGATACACCATCATGGGTGTCTCTTTGGAAACGTACGCTACCTCTGTCTTCCCTCGGAGGTACAGGAAAGCAGTCAAGGAATAAATATGTAAAGTCTTGAAAGCAGGCCAAGCTTGGCCTTGAAATTGCAACAGTTTACTTTTTAGTTCTTTGGTATCAAAATGATTAAAACATGGGCTTTATATATTTCTTTTGTCAAAATATCAAGTTTGAATACTGAAGCAGCACTCTATGAGGTACAGTGTACACATGATTTTGAGTGTTAGTAGAGTAGTTGACATGTACTTTGAGTTAAAGCCTGTCTGCACTACATTTGACCAGGGAGGGATTAGACCTCCCTGCATGGTCACTGACAGGTGGTTATCTCATCAACTCAGCTCTCAATATAAGAAAAAGAGGATCATGGCTTAGGCATTGTTTGCTCTATAGAGGGCGCAAGTAGTGCAGTCCCGCTTTAAGTTCCATGCACTACTGGATATGAATTTTTTTGTTAAGGCTATTTAATTTTCCTTCTTTCATAGTGCCATAGAGTTTTAAAGAATAACGCATCTTGCATATCTCATCTCAAATTCATAATTCATGTATAACATAATTTATTTATTATCAGTACACTGTTTTTGAATAATAAAACAAACACATCTTTTTTTTTATTGGTGCAAAATATTGGTGATATAAATGTCTTATAAACTGTATAAAATACTGTAAGAGAAGCAAATCATTTGATTCCATTTCAATTCTTTAATACTTGATTGTTTTCATAATGTCACCATTAGTTTCTAGATGAGTGAAAAGGATATTAGAATCTTGCATCCCTGCCATGTGAATACTGCTATTTTAGAACCGGATGCAAACTTATAAATTCTATTCTTCATCAGCTCCGAGCCAAACACTTCTGCAAGACCTTCTTTGATCTGAAACAAAACAGAATAACACAATAAGAATCATAAAAAAATGTTGCATTGCCCTTTGCGACCAACCCCAAAATCTTGAAATCTACGGTCGGCTTTTAAAAAAAGTTTTTTTGTTTACTGTTTTTTAGAAAAAAATGTATTAAAGCATTCAAAACTGAGAAATATCAGCCCAAAGAGGGAGTAAAAAAAAAAAGGCTTTTCAACTGTCCGACCCATGTGTTGGCACCTATAGGGTAATACAACATCTTTCTTTTTTAGGCCTAAGAATGATAAAAAAGACAGTAAAACGCAACTGTAACAGTTATTATGCAACAATAAGAGTGATGATGATGATGATGATGATGATGATGATGATGATGATGATGATGATGATGATGATGATGACGACGACGACGACGACAACGACGATGATGATGATGATGATGATGATGATGATGACTACAGCAACATTTGATCCTTTTGATAGTTGAACTCAAATTTAACACTTAGAATTTGTAATTTAATCAAATACTGGTAGATGCTTGCACATCACAACGTTAAAGGATGTAAAATATGTTTGGGTTACTGTGCGTTTTATGACAAATCTTCAAATGCTATTCTTAGGAGAAAAGTGTTCAGGAATAAAAGCCATGCTTCAGTCTGTCACAAGTCAATGCAATAGAGTCCGATTGTAACACAATAAAGTCATGATTACAATTATTAGGCCAAAAAGGAAACTTTTACCTCCATTTGCACAATTTCATTGTTTTCTACTTCAAATCTGAGCTCGTTGTCTTGAGAAAGGTTGTACTCCTTGCCTCCCTGTACGCAAGAGGGAAAAAAAAGAGAAATAACTTTGAGAAGAGCTGAGAGCAAAAAAAATATTTAAAAAATAGATTGTTCATAATGTATAGAGAAGAATTAATATTATGCCTTGTTAGATAGGGCAAGCCATAATGTATATGTCCTACCTATTAATTTTAATTCTGAGATAATTTTTGAGATAATTTTTGAGATAATTTTTGAGATACGTTTATGATTTATTCGCAAAAGATTAATGAAATAATTTGTAAGAATTGTAACAGGTGCTTCACAAAGGCATAAATTTTGTTATATTACGAATTACCATAATGGCTTATTTGGCCCAATGATGATTATTCTTATCCAGGAAAACAAAGAAGAAGAATTTAAAACAGACTATTTAAAGATGTAGGCTTAAATATAGTATAAGTTTAAAACACCTTTACGGGGTCTTTTGGAGGAATGCTACCAAGTATAGGAATATTTTTACAGAATGACAGAACAAAAATAACAATTACAAATCTCATACTGCACAGGCAATATCACATGAATAATTCATGACACTGACTGGGCAACTATTTCACATAATTGAAATTGAATGACAGGTGTGATTGTTCACAATGAGTACATTGTACGTACATCATGTACACTCTGAGTCATACAAATCCATGGGGCAATTTCCTAATGTAATAATCCAATGTAATGCAGACTCTTTGTTGAGTGCCATTACAAATTATTTCAATCAAAATGTTACAAATAATTATATTTCAATAGTCAGAAGCAAGATTGCATACCACATTAAATGTTGCTAGGTCAGCCAAGCCTTTTCCCTCCAACCTTGTAACACTAAATGTTTGTAACCCACATTTTGACTATGCAATAACTATTATTAAGCTATCAATAGGCAAAGTGCATAAATGAAAATACTTTACGAAAATAGTACAGGGTACATGTAGGTATTCAAGTTATTAAATATATACACTGTATAAACAGTCAAACCTGCTTTAGTGACCACCTGTCTATAAAGACCACATGTTTTGTTTCCCTTGAAAATTGTTTCTCATTGAAACATGTACTAAAGGAACCTGTCTACAAAGATTGTTTCCCTTGGGTGGTCGCTATCGACAGGTCTGACTGTATTATGAAATATACTATATTATAGGAAATCTTATGTAATACGTGCATAGTTAACAAATGCATATACATGTAAGAAAAATTGGGGAAAAACCCTCCAATTATTAAAGAGACTACTTGCATATAAAAATTTATATTTTTAATTCTAGGAGAATTAAAATTCCTCAACAATTACAATACAAAACTAGCAGACTGTGTGTATAACATCTTTAAGTCATTACATTCACACGACTATTAAAATGAACATTTATAAACTCTCATATAATATATACCGTCAAATAAAATAAAAACCACAAATGTGCAAATAAATAACGATCATTTTTTCCATATTTCCCAGATACCATCAAATATAAAATTTTAAAAGATGAATGCATAAATGCTATTTCCACATTTTTATTATCATCAACATCATTTATATACAAATATGAATTGAAAATTGATATTTCCATAATTTAATTTTTATAAATTTATGAATACCCCAGGTACATACTGTGGAAAATTCATTCTTACCTCAGCTCCTAGATTAGTTTGAGCCTTTAACTCTTCCCAATTGGAACAATCTTTTGCATTTTCAACAGCTATTTCCTCAGGAGATTCCATATGGAATTATGAGAGTAGTAATACAGTATTCAATGCCCAACCTACAACGATGAAACGCTCATAGCAAAATAAATTCGTGCACATGTGCACTGCACCGTGTAGTGTACACAGCTGGGCCCCTGTCCATTATTCCACACACAGCCTTGTACTGCTAACGTGCATGCGCATACCGTACACACACTGTTCAACACACACACAAAGCACAAAGCACATGTCAATCCACAAGACATGTAGTAGTCTTTAAATACAAACATTTTGACTAAAAACCTGTAAATTACTTATATCAGAATTAAATTTCATCTCAGTAAATAATGTATGCTTAACTAGGTTTAAACAATTTAAGACCAGTTTTATCTCTACATCAGCAGACCATGTTGATATTTTTTTCCACATGGAATATTTTTCTGAACAATAACAAAAAAACTGAATAAAAAGTCTACATGTTCACAGCTAATGAATATGCACATTGGTGCAATGAATATTCATTACATGACAGGAGAGTCTCCAAAAACCTATTTTCTCTGACTTTGCAACAACTACAAGTCTCTCAGATCTAGAAATTTTTCCTAATTGTTCCAAAATACTTTCAAATATTGAATCTGCTAACTATACCTGTAAAAAAAAGGTGAATAATGATGTTTTCAATCAAAATACTGAATCACATCAATTTACTAACCATTACATTGAGGTACTAAAGATTAGTACAAATAGGATTCTCATTTCTTTTAATTCATCATCAGTTAGGAATAATCCTTTCCTGTTACCTCTTCGGAGGTAGCAAGATGAAGATGATGAGATGTCTTGGATGATCAATGATTACTCCATGGGAGTGGGGAATATGACAACCCCCCATAGCCCCATCTCTGATTTCACTGATGATCAAACCTTCCATGAAAAAAAAACACATCTACCACGTGAATGTAAAACTATAATTTCAAATTTCATATCAGAATAGTCTAGTGTAATCCCCCAAAATAATAGGATTGATTTATCATAAATTTAGAATGGGCCAACTTTGACAAGCCTTTCCTATTTGCTGGCTTCATTACTGCAATGCTGAAATACAATGTACCTTTGATTTTGGGTAATATATGAATACAATAAGTCAATCCTGATATATAGCATACATGTCATAGGGTACGTTTATGCTCAGCTTTTTCTGGCCAGAATGAGGCATTTGTTACGCATTTAGTTCAAAACATGGTTGCGTTCTTTCTCATTTTTGTAGAATCACAGAAAAACATAAACTCACAGATAGGTACGTTTTGGATCGGCGATTCTGGGAAGCATAAATGCACAATCGTTTGTAAACGCCTTTAAATTGGGTCAACGTAGCATGAGCAGTGCAGGTTTGCGAATCCAGCTGCAAGACCACCCAGCCAGAATCATGCATGGAGGAGCCAGAGAAGTGAGCACAAACAGTACACCGTGGAACTGCGATTACGATGAGCATTTACGATGAGCGTTTCAAACCTTCAAAATTGAGCATAAACGTACCCATATATATCAAAGATCAAATGCAAATCCCACTATGTAAATTGGGATGGGGGGGGGGGGTGCAAAACTACAATTGCTTTCCTTGCATAGCCTCTCTGCAAGGTTGCTCGTTTGCAACACATGAAATTTTGCACAAAACAAAGGTTTGCTTTGAGCAACAACATGGCTTTGCAAAATTACACATTTCTGGTAATTACACTGGTATAGATAAATTTTGCACTGGAAACAATTGAACAATCGTGCAGCCTTTGGTAAATCTATCCCATGATAAAAAAAAGTCATTTTAATGTGGCACAGGGAGATTATTTGTGTTGCATATAAAGAGTTAACAAGGTTACAGGGTAGTCCTGTAGCCGAACCGCCGAACCGAACGTGGCATTTCCAAACCGAACCAAACCGAACGCAAAGGCCTGGTTCGGATGTTCGGCAGAAAAATGTAAACGTTTTTGCAAGCTAATAAACTTGTCATTTTGTACCTAATTTTCATGTCATGATTGCTCATTTTATATTTACTTTTTTCCCAATTTTCCGCCCTTGTGATTTATGCCTATCCAGTGGTGGGCGCAACTTCACTGGCGCCATTTAAATCCCAAATCCTGACCACGCTACGTCGCGATCGCAAGCCATAAACAAGAATACATGTGCATGATCAAAACAGGTTCAGCTCAAAGCCACTCAACAAAAAATTAATGTTTTTATTTTAACCATATTGGACAAATTTTACAATATAAATAATGAAATAAATATATTATAGCATGGTATTTATTTATTCAGGAAAAATAGGGATTTTATATTTTTCCTATTGAAAATAAAAACTTATAAAAAACAGTTATTGACAAGCCTGAGTCTCTATTCAAGATGGCAGCTTTCATGACTCTAACATTAGACAAAAACCGTCTTGGAAAATCTTTAAAAAATATCATTTATCAACAAGTTGAAAACATGATTCTTTTAAAATTGAAAATAAAACATGATTCAAGACGGAAATACGAATGTACCTGTAAGTAGTATTTTTCTTCACAAACAATTACGTTTAGAGCAGTTTTTTAATGTGAGATATATTCAGATTCGTGCTGGTCGGAAGTAGTGTGCAGAAGCCCTCCGTGCTGGTAGGGCCCGGCAAGCAGGGCGGGCGGCCCGCCCAGTGCCGACCGCCGTGGCTATAACGCTGCTTGCTATTATATTACCGAACCCCGAACCGAACCAAGTTCGGGTGAAAAATTGCCGAACTCTGCCGAACCGCACCGAACATAGCGTCTGACTTACAGCACTATTGCAGTGTGTGTAGTAGATATCATTACAGGGAAATCCAACCTTGAAAACAAACTATTATAGAGGTACAATATAAGCAGAAAAAACAGAGGTGAAAGTTGGCATGATATCAGACAAAAAATGAGAAAGTTATGAGTTTTTGAAAGTTGTAATGACGATAAGTACAACATGTATGGGCTCTCTAAATTGGCTGAATCAGTATTGTCTCTGCGATGGAAATGACAACGTATTAGCAGAAAACCTTTCCCATTTCCTATAAGAGAAAGTTTAACAGAAATGTGATGTTTTGTGACAAAGAAAAGGCTAAAATGCATTGTGGGTCCGGATATTTCATGCAACCTTGTTGTGACTTAGATAGCAAATCAGGTAGGAAGAGATACATGTACAATTTTTTTAAATGTGAATTTTATGAGGAAGGAAATAAAATATCATTTAAAACAAAAAAAAATACTTGTTGTTGTTGTAATTAATGGTGTACAAGTACATACCGATGGTGGGTTGCGGGCACGTGCCTGTGTGAAGTTATCTACCCTAATGTCTAATCAACGTTTATCCCAAAAAATACTCCAAAAATAACAAGAAAATTGACACGAAACAGGGAATAAACATAACGAATTTTAACTCATGATCTTTATGTGGACATTTAATGAATATTTACTTCATTTTGGGTATGTTTTAGTATGGTGGTGTGACCAAAGTTCACGCGTGACCCAAGTTTCGCTATCTCAAAAAATCAGTAAGATTTCAAAAATCTGATATCACCAATGGAAAGAGGAACATAAAATTACCCAGAGATGAAATTTCCTTTGGAATTGGGTACGAAATTGTGAAAATATTAACAAACGAAAAATTATCAACACACTGATATTAGGGTCTGAAAATCTTCATTTTGAGAGCAGACTTCCTCAAAACTGTACCAACAGATTGTATGATATCTTGCATGATATTACCTTATTTTTGATGGATCACATTTTTTGATAAATCAACTGTAAACCCCTGTGCGTGAAGTTAGGTCTTGTTGTTTTTATGACTTTTTTGGATGCAGCGCGCACGCACGATCGAACATCAAATTTTTAGATCTTGATAGATCTATCTCCGAAATCCTTTGACGATAAATTTTCTAGATGAACCAGTCTGTAGTAAAAAAACTTTGCCGTCCATTTGGTAATAATTGAAATAGATCTAGATCTAGATCTAAATACATTTGTGTAGAATATGAGAAATCAAAGATCGAATATCACATTTTTGTAATACTTAGTTATAGATCTAGGTCTACATGTAGACTACTGTACTACTAGACTATGTTCTAAAATTTCCGCGAACTTTGGTCACCCCTTCATACTATCTCCTAGACCGAATTTTCCGTCTCTTTCGTTCGTTAGCCTCTTATTGGGGTAGGGTCGGCCGGCTCTCTCTTTAGAGACGGAAACCGTCTATACACATTCCCTTGATAACGCCACGGCCATTTCAGGTCGTAGCGTTTTGCCCCCCAAAAAAACCCAAAATGTCATTTTACCTCGTGTATATCCAAATGTAAATTAGGCCTAGGCCATAATACATCGGTTCCACTTACTAACTTGATTGAAATAATCCGTTTAATGGTCCCTTTTAAGGAAATTATGGTAGGGTGTCTGATCGTGCACCCGATGTTGTGTGCTAAAATTCTTCCCATAGAGATTACACGCATCCCTATGCAGCCTGCGTGCATTGCGCGACCATGCAAAAAAAGTCAATTTTTTTTTTTCAAATCGAGATTCAAACCTTTATCTGTTGTGATCCTGAAGGTGATAATCAATGAATGAGGTGTCATATGAAAGAGCAGGTGAATTCCAATATTTCCAAAGGGGCGTAGCCCCCGAAATTTTAAAAATATCTTGGTCAAAACAGCAATTTAAACATTGTGTCCTGGCTAACTCTGAGGTTTGTCACTTTTGAGATATGACGCCCCGATTGATAAGTAGTCCCAGTCCTAAGGAACAATTCTATGTGATTATATTTTCGCTAGCCCCCAGGGATCACAACTGATAACAGTTTAAAAATACCCTTCTCGCTATTTGGTGGATCAGCTAACTAGGGGGCGTGCGCTCCGCTCAGTCCAAACCATGGTTACATCGCGTAACATCTCCACGCACGAACGAAACCCCAAACGAAACACATTATAGTGACTGAAATTATGGTTGGCAATTCCCTCGATAAACCCGGAAGTGAATACACGTTATAGTCAATGGCAATATCGCGGAGACATCTCCGCGATATTGCCATTGACTATAACGTGCATTCACTTCCGGGTTTATTGTGCGACGAACGCCAACCATACTAGTCAATGGCACATGTCGCGGAGACAGCGTAGCTCAAGCTGCAAGTCGCGGATTGGCTTAGCAGCATGCGTACGATATGCATACGCTTGCATATCGCGCGATACAGCTGTTTGGCTAAATTTAGCAAAACAACATCACTCTGCGTGGACGTCTTTTTCGTCGATTTTGACCAAAATGATATGAATATACCAGCGTTTTGGAGGGGCTGTAACTTTTGATAGCAACATCGGTGAGACTTGAAATTTGAAATGTATTATTCTGATAACATTTTTTTATTCAAATATCAAACAAAAATGGTGAAAAACGATCCCAAATTGAAAATTGAAAAATCGTTCAGACACCCTAATTATGGGTCAAAATCGACATCCATTTTGAAAATCTTGCAAGCCGGGTTAAACTCTCGCTGCAGGAGTCATCTAAATCAATCTCATCCCTTCTAGTCTACGCCAAAGGCAAAATGATTATGAAGGAAAAACTGTGTGCCATCTACACGTTCGTAATGGCGTTATCACAGTTTTTCCTTCATAATCATTTTGCCTTCGGCGTAGACTAGTAGAAGGGATGAGATTGATTTAGATGACTTCGGCAGCGAGAGTTTAACACGGCTTGCAAGATTTTCAACATGGATGTCGATTTTGACCCATAATTTCCTTAAAAGGGACCATTAAACGGATTATTTTAATCTAGTTAGTAAGTGGAACCGATGTATTATAGCCTAGACCGTCCCTAGGCCTAATTTACATTTGGATATACACGAGGTAAAATGACATTTTGGGGGATT